CTGAAATCAGATTTCTCTTGTTAGCCTCCATCCACACCACATCATACCAGGTCTATTAAAACCACGATGCTTAGATTGTCAGATCCGGATTCATGTGATGCCTCTAAAACAGTTCAACAGTAAAACAAACCAAAAAAAAAAAAACCTGCAGAAACACAAAAAAGGCCACTTCACTGCTGTTTTGAAGCATCTTGGCTATTAGCCCAGTTCTTAACAAAATAACTGCAGAGGTATGAGATCTGAACTAGATCAACAAATACACTGTAAGGCGGGTTTAGCACCCAAATTTATATTTGAAGAATTTATTTTATTTGTTAAAGCAGAGAGGTTTCATCGCTATTTCTCAGCTCCTTCATGCTAAAGTAGCTCCTAGTATCAGACTCCATCATCAGCACCGGTTTGATTCTCTGCAGGATGCTAAGCTAACACATTACCCGCTCTGCTAAGCTCATCTCCAGCTGTTTGGTGTACTACTCAACATCTGTCCGGACAGACTCGCGTATACAAATCTGCTTGTTAGCTGCACACGTCTGTGTTATTAAAACGCAGTTAGCTGACCTGCTAGCCCAACCTACTAGCTCCGTTAGCATTAGCAGTAGCTCTGTGCAGCACCGACACATGGTGAAATAAATCCTACCTGTGAACGTCACCGTCTCTCTGCAAGTTAACTCATATTTTTAGGTGTCTGTTCAGTTTTCTGCCTGTCGCTGTTTAACCTCCAACTGTGCTTCTTATCATAAAACGAATAGCTCTGCAGTTAGCAGTTAGCCTCTCTGCAGCAGAGATCTATTTCCATTCAGTCAACACACCAGAGCACGTGACCGGAGCGCAGGACATGCACTGCTGCAGCTGGTGCATCGGGACGCACGGTCCTGAGCATGGGTAGGCTCAGTGCACAGTCCCAGGGACCCAAGGGCTCAGGGGGCCCCAACTACAGGACGAAGAAGAAACTGTTCCTCTGCCCAGTCGATAAAATGTCGAGTCAAATAAAACGGCTTAAAACCACAAAATCAGAAAATATAGACGCATAACAATTTCATAGAATTCAGTAAAGAGAAAGAAAATACCCCAAAGACACAAGAACGACTACAAATATGTCAGTTGCAGCGTGTTCTTTTATGAAGAATGATCGGAGTCAAGTATCACTTTTAATCATTTATTATCACAATTGAATAGACAATCGAATAAAGCAATTTACAGAGCTCTGGGTTCCGTCTCTATCTGAAGCCCTGATCCTCAACAGCAAAACCGTTCAACTCATCTTCAGGACAAGAGGGAACACCTACCTGCCTGAAACCCAATCTTTTATACAATTTTTGAAATGTGCAAAGTAGGTTGATCTGATGCCTCTCGTGCTGTTTCATTGGTCCCTCAGTCCGTCCACTTCCCAAGGTCCTCCCTGCTCCACCTGAGGAAAGACAGTTTTCCTAGAGAGGGAGGAAAACCTAGCACTGCCTGTGTGTGTGTGAAAATAGCTATTTTACCAGGCAGCTGTTTCTTCTAGGCCAAAATCTGATTATAACCTTGGTGTGAATCTTAGTATCTTATCAAACCCTAACTCCCCTGGCTTCACAGCTCAGAGGGAATAATGAGCTCTGTGGAGAAAAGGCAACAAATCTAATGGACTGTGGGATGATGAGACCTTGGAGAGCTACTCAGTGCACCACACTTTTAATCTCATGGGCCTGTAATATCACACAGAGTTTTCAGTGTCCATACAGTAACTTATTTTCTCATCATGTTAGTGAACATATAATGTGGTGAATAGTAACTTCATAAACATATCTGTGACATGCAAGTGTGTGAACTTATATATTCTAAAATATAATCTTAACTATTCCTTTTCTAATAGGATAGAATAGTCATACACAAAGTGAACACACAGGTTAAATAAACAACAGTCATGGTGTCAATCTTCTACTAAATAAGTACTTAATTCAATCAAATGTTAGAACCAATCCTAGAGTATAACTTTCTTAATAATTTTATCCAACACAATTGACAAAAAGAAACAGCCTAATGCACCAAAGAGCTAAAAAAAAAAAAAAAAACACACACGCAAGTAGAAATAGGTGCAAAGTGACTAACAGAGGCTAAGTGAGTTTCTAAAAAATGACACAACATGGCTAAAAACAGATGCACAACGATCAAGAGACAAACTGACTACAAATCAAATGGATGCTCAGTCTTTGAGATTATCTCGGTCTACAGTCAATAACAAGGACAGTAAACTGAAGAAATTGGCTCATTATGCTTTTTCCAAGCCAACAGAGGCTTTATTGGAAATGTGATTTCACTTAAACATGTTATCCCTTGGAGTTTACCAACTACGATCCATAAATAAAACACAAAAACATACAATAAAACTTTGGCTTATTATGGCACAACACAGAATAGCTCACACCAATCTCACCCGATAAAGAAGAAGAGAGAAACCCTATTTTATTGTCATTGCCTTAGATGCCTCTAAGGCTTTTGGCCACATGAATCATAGGAACTTATTCCAGAAACTGTGTGACACCCGAGTGCCTAAATATATAGTGAGATGCTTGTCATACTGGTATGCCCACCAGACTATGTCTGTTAGATGGGATAACTGTATATCTGCACCCTTTCAGACCTGTAATGGGGTAAGACAAGGTAGTCTGCTGTCCCCAATCTTGTTTAATTTTTACATAAATGATCTGTCTAAAGAGTTAAATATGTGCAGAACATGATGTATGTTTGGTGGTATAGTGGTGAATCATTTAATGTATGCAGACGACCTTGTGATCTTTAGTCCCAGCTCAGCAGGTCTTCAGCAGCTCTTGAACGTGTGCTCAGTGTTTGGGGAACGTCACGATGTCAAGTATAATGCTGTCAAAAGTGTCATTATGATATGCTGTACAAACGAGGACAGGTTCCTTGTATTTCCTTCTTTTAAGTTATCTGGTAATATTTTAACTGTGTGTAATGAAGTTAAGTATTTGAGTCATGTCATTAATGATTGTTTGTCTGATGACGGGGATATATATCAGCAGTGCCGTATGTTGTATGTACAATCTAATATACTGGCACGGAAGTTTGGAGTAAAATTGGCTTTGTTTAAAGGGTATTGTACTTCCTTGTACACTGCTCATCTGTGGTCTAACTATAAAAAGGGCAGTCTTCAGAAATTGTCAGTGCTGTATAATGACGCCCTAAGACTATTATTGAAAAGGCCTAGATGGACGAGTGCTAGTGAATTGTTCCTCATCTCAAATCAGTACATTTTCCGCTGTCTTAAGAAACTTGATGTATAAATTTGTCGCTTGAATTGTTTGGAAAATAAAATCACTTTATTGTTGACCAATGTTGCATAGTGACATGAAATTTACTTCAGCTCTCTGGAAACACTGGTATGTCTGCCTTTTAAAGGGACAGTAGTTTATGGTTGATGTCTTGTATTCTGGTTTTCTTTTTATTGTCGTTTCCTCTTCTTTCCTTTTTAACTGTTTTTTATTGTTTATTAGTTTTTGAACTTGGACCTTGAGTCTATAATAAAGTGTCATTCATTCATTGCAACACATACAACGAAAGTTTGTTTGGAGCTTAGGGCCCCGGGCCGCTGCGTACGTATGCGCCGCCATCACAGGCAACTTGGGGCGCTCAGCGTCTTGCCCAAGGACACTTCGACATATGGACTGCAGGCACCGAGATTTGAACCTTAAACCCTCTGGTTGGGAGGCGACTGCCCACCGCAAAAGCTCAACAGCAGCCTTTCTGTTGTTGACGGTTGCCAGTGCATGTTGTGGCGAATCCCCTGAGCTTTTGGTTATGAAGAGCATTTTATTTTTCACTTGATTCAGTTTTCATCCGTTTTTTACAGCTGGTCAGCAGTGTTGGTACAACACACGTTTTCACCTTTTATTTTTGACACAAGTAAATACTAGTCAAACTTCTCAACTCCCTTTGAGGATATTAATCCTAGTTTCTATCTATATAAATGATAGTCATTAAAAATAGTCAATTTCTAAAATAAATGTGACCAATATTAGTGACAACATTTCAACTTTATTGTATATTATGAAATATTATATTGCTACGATCTCACCCTCCGTAGATATAAACTGTTTCGACATTAATACACAACTTAGTTTAACTTTGTATTTATTGTAATTATTCAAACTTATTTTATATACACGCTATTTTAATTATCGTCACTAGATGGCGGTTTGCTTCTATATAAGCCTACGTATTTCAAATTGTTCACAATAAAGTTCATTTTGAAAGAGCCGTGATTGGCTCATAGCGATACGACGTCATCGTCCACTGGCCAATCAGGTCACTCTCGTTGCCGCGGAGATTTGAAAACCAGAAATGGCTGAAGTCATCCGAGCGTAAGTTTATTTAAAACGCATATTAAACGTTTTATGTTCTCAGTTAACATTTGTGCGATTCATTTCTCAAATGGTTAATTGAAAACAAGAAGAAACAGAAATTTGGGCTTTTCATCACAGTAAAACATCCGATGTGATCAATGTGAAGGAGACAGTGGATAATGTGGTATTATCATGTAGGAAATGGTTCATGTACAAACAACGTGATACAGTGTCAAGGATGCTAACTGCTGTAAAACCGTCTTGTGTTACATTAACCTGTGTTGTGCATTTGTGTTAGTGTGTTGCAGAGCTGTGATCCGACCCTCCTGGATCCCTGTGGAGACTCGGAGCTGCTGGACTGTGCTGAAGCAGCCAGCATGGTTCAGTACCTCATGGTCCGTCTCACTCTTCATACATCAAAATTCAACATTCAATAGATTCTAGATTTAATGCTTTCTAATCCCGACCATCCTCTCCTTAATGAATTGACATTCTGTGTGTGTAGGACAGTCGTCGTGTCCAGAAGGTTTTGTGGCGTCAGCTGTTTGTTCTGGACTCCATGATGTCTCTACTGGAGGGTCTGGAGTCTGCCCAGCAACTGATGGCACAGCCCTGCACACCTCAACCTGGTACACAGAGTAGGCAGAGTATATACAGTGTACACACAGCGTGCGCAAATTTGGACTTGCCATCAACCAAAACATGTACCAATTATGCCACATTTTTTTATTTAACTTTCCAGTTATTCATTGTTTCATATTACAAAGACATACACACACACACACTCATTTGCAGATTTAAAGTTATTTCAAAAAACACAATCTATTTTATTTTAAATCAGTAGGAAATGTTGTGTTAAAATGTAGTCATCGATGTATGATGCACACACTAAACGTTTCATGTGGACGTCTGTTCATATCATCTCATCTACTGTGTATCTTCATTGCAGTTCTGTTTCTCCATACTTAATAATGCTGCGCAGTGCATACGTAGTGCTACAGATAACCTAATAAAACCTAGCAAAGCACAATAGCATACTGATTACTACATGGTTTTACCTGTGTGTCTTCAGAGGGTGGGGCTCGCAGCAGGTGGAAGGCTCTGAAGGTGGAGTGCAGGCAACAGGATGAGGAGACAGAGAGGCTGCTCCAAACTCTGCAGGAGGAAGTCCAACAGATCCATGTCAGACGAAACAAACTCACACAGCTGGTCCAACAGCTGCACCACAAGGTGTCAACACACAGTGATGACAGACAGCTGTAGAGATGTGAATACAAAATATATAGCACTGTTATGTACATAGTGTATACTACTGTTTGGTTTCTATTGTATAGATGGTCAATATGGGTTCAGGTGGATGCTATGACATTTCAGTTATGTTGCTAGGTGGTTGTTGTGGTATTCTATGGGGTTACTGGGTTGATAAGTCTGAAGCAAATAGAAGGAAACATTTCACAAATACACAACTCACAGCTAATACTCTCCCTGTCTCCTCCTCTCTCCTTGTCTTGATTCCTTGCCTCCACCAGAAGCAGCAGAATGAACACCTGGATGAGCATCTGCAGAAAGCCCAGAATGCATTGCGCTTATATAATCGTCAGCTGATCCAGCTGAGGTTGGAGTTAGAGGGGGTGCACAGTCAGCTGATTAGCTGGCAGCAACTCAGAGACGAGTGAGTGTCATCAGGTCAGGTAGCCCCTGTTCGGGTAATTTGATTGGTGACCAACTTTGCGTTCACCTTTTAGGCTGCAGATGAGCATCTCTGCCCTACAGGACGTCATGCAGCTCAAGCTACTGTCCTTCACCCCGTCAGAGCTGTGTGTGGAGCTCAGGCCACGATCCTTCTCTGACGTTTTGTCCAATGAGTTGGAGCCGCTAGAGCTGTTAGTCACCTGGAGTCACAACAGCCACTTCAGACTGCAGGTAACGCAGCAAGTTATCCAGGTCTGATCATAAACCGTTTATTTCTGTTGGACTTAATCCCGACTAGCTCTGGCATCATGAAAACATAAACACTGATAGCTTAACTGTCGCTGGGTCCTTTGCAGGTGAAAGAGGGGCCAGCTGGTTTGGTCGAGGACTGCCTGTCGGGCAGATGGTCAGAGCTGAGTGCCGCTCTGCTGGAGGTGATGCAGCGTTATGTGGGCCAGGCTGAGCTGCTGTCTGAGATCCAGACCCTGAGATCTAGGTGACATTTTAGGTCCTGGTGAAGTCTTCTCCTATCTGTCAGTCCGTGATGATCAGCAAGACCTCTGATGGTTTTGATCAGACAAATCACTGGTCATGAGGAGCTGACTTCATGTTACTGAACCAGCCACTGTTTCTGAGAGAGGACGGACACATTTATCTATAAGCATCATTCAAAGGTCCCTTTAAAAAAATGTAACATTTATATTTCATATAAGTGCTAAACTCACCACAGTAGATGTAGTAGTTATACAAAATATAACTCGAGTCCATTTAACATCCAAACAGAAAAATAAGCCATGAGTTGGTTTGTTTGTTGACCATAGCTGCTATAGGTTCACGCTGCACACGTCATCTCAACAGTCCTGATCTCCTCACTGTGACGCTGAATCCTTTTTGCCCATAAATACCTTTAATTTAACCCTTAAACAGATAAACAAATGATTTTCAGAAGATAATTTGTAGATCAATTAGTGGTTTTTAAGTAAACCTTCAGTTCACTTTCCTCAAAAACGCCAAATAACGTATTGCATTTTGTTTTCATTTAAGGTCTTTGTCATGTTCTGTAGCGTGACAGAGGCGGCAGCGTTTTTAGAATGTGTGTCTGTCTATGTGGCCTAATGAAAAGCCTAACCGTTACTACATTCTTCATTTGGTCCATTTCCTGCTGGATACTCAGGTCCAGGTCGTGCTTTATGAGGAAAGGTTGCTATATACAGCTGGAAGGTACTGACACAATGTGATATCAGTGCCAGTAAAACCACACACATGGTAAATAAATCTAGGTCTTTCCTACTGGTTGTTGTTGAGATCTTTCACACCAGTATCACTGAGAAACTAAATTCTATCTGGTGTTTAAAAGTCTTAAACTGAAGCTGATGAAGTTGCAGCAGCCCTGAAATCCCTTGATCTATAGAGAAGACCCATTAAAAACGATTAATGTTTTAGTTTACCTCGCTTATTCTGTAATTAACCCCAGCTTTAGGTTCAGCTTTGTACATTAACAAAGGTAAATCAGAAGTGCTTTACATGGTAACTTAAACTTGAAGGGTTTTACCCTTTAAAACCTATTAATATTTGCACAAGACCCGCTGACGATCCCTTAGTCTGGTTAACTAAAACTACCTGCCTAGCTTGTTAACTAACAACAGTTTCCCCCCGCTTCCGGTCTTTGTGTTAAGCTCAGCTAAACCCCGATCCACTTTTTGTGTCTGCAGCTTTGCCGTTGACTGGCGTCCTGCTCAGCGTCTGCTGGTCTACCTGAAGTCTGCGTCGCTGGTGTGTCACCTGGAGGTAGAGGAGGGATACCCGAGCAGCGGACGGGTTCAACTACTGTCAGTCCGAAGAGATGGACAACCTCTGGAAACATCTGGACTGAAGGTAAGAAGTCGCAGTCTTACTGGCAGCTTACCTACATGTGATCACTGCAGCTGTCTGTGTCGTAACTAAAACATCGAATAACATTACAGCATCATTCCCTTAAACATAACTTTGTTTTTAAATTAAAATTAAACCCCAATCTTCTTCTCATCCCATGACTTTTCCTCTACGATACTGCAACTCTGTTCTGGAAATGTGTCATTTTGCTGCACCCTCAGACAGCAGCCCTGTTGCTGTGCCTTATAAAACAGATGGTAGTCAGCGGCTAGTCAGTGGACTCATCTGCTTCTTTCCGTCTCTCTTTCAGCCTCATAAAACTGATGTCCGTCTGACTGACTGGCTGGTTTTTCTCTGCAGCAGTCCACTGATCTGACCACACTTTTCCTGATTATCCTCTGTCCTCTAGATGACCGACACCTGTATGCTCCTCCTGCATGTGTCCAGCAATAATACACTTTTGTAAACCTATGAAATTTCCAAAACTGATGTATTTCTTTGTCCTGTTATTGAATTAGAGCTGCGTATCAGCCTGTCTCATGATCTGTTGTTGGTTGATCCTCAGTATTTGTGTTGGGTTTTACATGATGTCACTGTGCAAAGCAAAATGAACAAACCATTTACACTCAGGAAAAAACTAGGAGCATCAGTTCTTTGATATTCTATGAGTATACCCTTTTAAGCTCCTGAAGGTCATGTGAATGCTGGTGGGGCTTTTATTTTGGAAAGCTGTTCCTGCAGTGCATCCACCAGGGCTCAGTGTCTCGTCCCATCTGCTGCCTCCCGAGGACTCGTCATAGTAGTGCCGATTTCTAACAAATTACTAATTAATCCAATTATGTAAAAATGAATACAGAGGTCTCTCTGTGTTTCCCGGTGAGCTCTGATAAACGTCCACACTCTCAGACAGTGTGACAGTGAAATAAACTTCTGCTGATAATAAAACTGGTAGAAACACGTCACGCTGCAGCTGTAGGTGCTGGGACAGATGCTCAGCCTCAGTGGAAATACATTTATATTAAAAAACCTTTTGTGGAAACTCCTCAGTGAGAAGCACACAAACGTAGTAGTACTGCGTCCAAATGCTATACTCCATACTAACTGTGCACTGCCTAATACGTGTCAGAGTACTCTGTAAAGAATCAACATACCAACAGGAAACCCAATCTGATTCTGTGTTGTCTGATACTGGCACAGCTCCTGTCTGCTGCCTCCTGATTGGTCGTGGGGACGCTGAGGTTTGGCTGCAGCTGAGTTTCATTTTCATTTGTCTCTGAGACGTTTAATCTCCTCACAGTGACACAAGGAACACGGGGAGTAAAAGACTCAATGAATAAAAGATTATTTCAGTCTTTTCTTCAGTAAAACCCAACGTGAACTACTGCGAAGCTTGTCTGTTTCATCTCAAACTAACCTGAATCTCTGTTTCCAGACTGTTTTAAACCTGAATTATACTTTTTTAATAAACCACTGGTTCTGTGAAGTCAATGTAGAATAATTTAGTTTAGCTATGGTCTAGTTTTCATTCTTAATTTTATTTAGCTGCTTATTTATCATCTTCTGTATAGTTTTTATTTTGTTTTACTTTTTATTTCTATTAATGTATTTATTCTTTAATATTGTTGTTGCTTGTCCCCCCTCTGTTCTTTTAAAATTAAATTTATGAGATTTGACTGGTCACAGACTGGTAAAGGGACGGTTATTCTTTTTTTTTTTTCACAGACTACAAACTATGGTTGAATGGCCCCAAAAACACGAAGACATTCAGTTTATTATGAACCAAAACACAGGAAAACAAAACATCTGTTGGATCAAGTTTTGAAGTTTCTGCAATAATAATAATGATAAACACTTTAGGTAATTATTTATTTCTGTCACCTTTTAACTGAGCTCAGATATTAACAACCAAGCCCAGGGGCCCCTGTCAGCATTAGGGCCTGATCAATGCTGACATGGCTGCTGGGGATACAGAGGGGCTTAGCGCTTGGTTTCATTCCACTTGCAGCTCTATACTGGACTCTGTGGCCCCGATGAAAACTGTGCTGCCTAAGGCTAGGATGGAACCCTGGCTTGGCACTAGAACTCGTGCGGCCAGACAGACGTACCGCAGAGCCGAACGAAGGTGGAAGAAGGATGGACTGCAAGTTTCACTTCAAATATTGAAGGACTGTTGGCGCAACTATCAGAGGACTGTGGAAGAAGCCAAGCGAGAGTATTTGTCCAGTATTGTTGTGGCTAATAGCAATGATCCACGTGTATTATATAAAACAATAGGGACTGTGTTAAATCCCCCGCAGCATGTTTATCTGGAAGCAACGGTTGAAATGTGTAATAAGTTTTTATCTTTCTTTAATGAGAAGGTGGCTGCTGTAAGGACGCCTGTGTTAGGGTTAGTGCCCGATCCTTCAGTCTATACTCCTTGTTTGGCTATTTTTGATGCTTTTGAGCAGGTAACTCTGACTTTTTTGGAGGGAGTGGTTGCCCAGGCTAAGCCTTCTGCCTCCCCTCGAGATGTTGTTTCCCCGGCTCTATTCAAGGAAGTCTTCCCCTGTATTGGAAGAATGGTTTTGGATATTGTTAACAATAGTTTGTCCTCCGGTACTGTCCCTGGTCATTTCAAGCATGCAGTTTTGCAACCTCTGCTTAAGAAGCCAGGTCTGGATCAATCCATACCGAGTAATTTTAGGCCTATTTCTAAGCTACCTTTTATTTTGAAAATTTTGGAAAAAGTGGTCTATGCGCAGGTGAAGTCCTTCCTAGCCAAGAATAACTTATTGGAGGTTTTTCAATCTGGTTTTAAACTCATGCATAGTACAGAGTCAGCCTTATTGAAGGTTGTTAATGATATTTATTTGGCCATCGGGTAGATCGGTGTCTGTCGGGTTGGCAGATGCTGAATCTGTGACAACCCCTTTGTTATCTGGGGTCCCACAGGGCTCAATTTTGGGGCCTCTGCTTTTTTCACTGTAGTTACTTCCCCTGGGTTCTATTTTGAGGGGTGTCTTTTCATTGTTATGCTGACGGCCAGACTTTTATGCCGTTGAGTAAGAAGGACACCTACTCGATTCAGCCGCTTCTATCGTGTCTTGCTGATATTAGGGGCTGGATGTCTTTAAGTCGTTTAAAGTTAAATGATGCCAAAACCGAAGTTATAGTGTTTGGCTCGAATATGTCTGGCGACCTTCCCCCGGTAGACTTAGGTTTCTTGGGGCAGTATGTGCGACCGGTCATCATGGACTTGGGTGTTAAAATATACTCTGATTTGAAAATGGAGAGCCAGATAAATGCGGTCGTAAAATCTGTTTTTTTCTACTTAAGACAACCTATTTGTATTCACTGGTGTTTGGCCAGGAGTGAGACTAGCAGCATTTTGATACGGTGATCCATACGTTTACTACATCTCGTATGGATTACTGTAATGCACTGTACGCTGGAGTTAGTCAATCGGGTCTTGCCCGCCTCCAGAGGGTCCAGAATGCTGCCGCTTGGTTATTGGTTGGGGGGGCATAAGAGGGACCACATAACCTCAGTCCTGGCATCTCTTCAATGGCTTCCTGTGCGTTTTAGGGTTCGTTTTAAGATTCTTTTATTTGTTTATAAGTCTTTGAATGGGCTGGCACCTTCTTATCTTGTGGAACTTTTACATCCGTATAATCTGTCGCGGTGCCTTAGATCAGCTGATCAGCTTCTTCTGGAGGCACCGAGGGCCAGGTGGAAAACTAGGGGGGATAAAGCCTTCACTGTGATGGGTCTGAACTTGTGGAATGCATTGCCTCTTTATATTAGGCAGGCCCCCTCGTTGTCTACTTTTAAGTCATATTTGAAAACCTATTTGTATTCATTGGCGTTTGGCCAGGAATGAGACTCTGTCTGTAGTGTTACAGTGTATGTTTTATTGTTTTTATTTTTTTCTATGCTGTTACGATTTTAGACTTGTATGGTATGTTAAGCACTTTGGTCAGCTGTGGTGGTGGTAAAGCGCTATATAAATAAAGTTGAGTTGAGTTTTCAGCAAAATCCAGCATCAGATCAATGAAGTCCACTTTCAGAAGCAAACCTGTCCTAGAAGGGACGTCCACCCTGTTAAACCAAATGATTCGGCCATGATTCTGGTTGGTGTGATCTCCAAAGGTGTTTTCACTTTTAAGAAAGTGTGGAGGTTTAAGTCTTTGTATGAATTTAAATGAACTGTATTAATAATATTTTTGGCAGTAATTAACACTGTATAAGAAAAATATAGTTACAGATTTATTTGAGATAAAACAAGCATCTCACCCCAGTCGAAACCTTTTTGGGTTTGTGTGAAACAAACAAGCAGGTTTCCTGTAAAAACAATAAATGAGATTTAACTGGTGAAAACTACAGGAAATATCATAACCACAAGGTCCAATAGATGAATTCAAAGCCAAATTTTGTTCAATTTTAAAATGAATTAAAATGCTAAAACATTGCCATATCTAAAATTAACACCAGTACCCGTCTAAGGCCCTGGCAATGTATAGCTTCATTGTCTTTTGTATGCAAAATATAATTTAACAGATAAAAACAAGCAAGTAATAATAATTTAAAAAGAAGAACAAGAAGACTGACCGCGTCTTCCACCAAAAAGGAGCCAAGCAAAGCAGAGCCTCCACACGGCAGTAGAAACGAAATCCAGCCGGTCCGGACCTTTAGGACACGTCTTTGAGAGGAACGAGTCGCCTCTGCTGTTTGTCTGCAAAGCCTCATATCACCTGTGCTCCCCAGGTAGAAGGGCCCCAGCTACTGGCGCCATGCGCGCTCACTGCTTCCTCAGCTGTGCTAAATGAACGGGCCATAGCTTCCTTTTCAGCAGTGTCCGCAGCGCACCTTCACCAGCTGCTACCTATTTAAAAACAGCCTGTGAACCTGACTGCCCCCACCTGTTCGCCATTTTGACGTGACAGATTTTTTTTTCAAGGGTGACCTTTGACTCTTATTTTACAACCCTTTCACATGATAATTAGAAACCAATTAAGCAAAGTATTGTCAAGCTACAGTGGAAAATAAATAAAGCAAAACGGAAAGTGAGGGCAATGATTTTCTTTTTCTTTTGTACCATAAATAGCGATTGGACTAAACATAAAGTTGGGGGCCCTGGTCTCTTCTGTAATCCAGACTAGTCATCTCAACTGATATAAGAAATTGCTATATGCAGCTAGGAAGCTCTGAAAAAATGTGATAAAAATGTCAATGCCTTATTGATATTGTTGTTATTCTTCAATCAGTATGTACAGTGGTGTGAAAAAGTGTTTGCCCCCTTACTGATTTCTTATCTTTTTGCATGTTTGTCACACTGTAATGTTTCAGATCGTCAAACAAATTTATATATTAGTCAAAGATAACACAAGTAAACACATCATGCAGTTTTTAAATGAAGGTTTTTATTATTAAGGGAAAACAAAATCCAAAACTATAGAGCCCTGTGTGAACAAGTGTTTGCCCCCCTGTCAAAACACTGGTTTATCGCACCTGAGTTCAATTTCTCTTGCCACACCTGTTCGCAATCAAGAAATCACTTAAATAGGACCTGCCTGACAAAGTGAAGTAGACCAAAAGATCCTCAAAAGCTAGACATCATGCCGAGATCCAAAGAAATTCAAAAACAAATGAGAAAGAGAATAATGGAGCTCTATCAGTCCGGAAAAGGTTATAAAGCCATTTCTAAAGCTTGGGGACTGCAGCGAACCACAGTGAGAGCCATTATCCACAAATGGCGAAAACATGGAACAGTGGAGAACCTTCCCAGGAGTGGCCAGCCGACCAAAATTACCCCAAGAGCGCAGCGACAACTCATCCAAGAGGTCACAAAAGACCCCACAACAACATCCAAAGAACTGCAGGCCTCACTTGCCTCAGTTAAGCTGAGTGTTCATGACTCCACCATAAGAAAGAGACTGGGCAAAAATGGTTTGCATGGCAGAGTTCCAAGACGAAAACCACTGCTGAGCAAAAAGAACATAAAGGCTCGTCTCAGTTTTGCCAGAAAACATCTTGATGATCCCCAAGACTTTTGGGATAATACTCTGTGGACAGACGAGACAAAAGTTGAACTTTTTGGAAGGTGTGTGTCCCATTATGTGTGGCGTAAAAGTAACACCGCATTTCAGAAAAAGAACATCATACCAACAGTAAAATATGGTGGTGGTAGTGGGATGGTCTGGGGCTGTTTTGCTGCTTCAGGCCCTGGAAGACATGCTGTGATAAGTGGAACCATGAATTCTGCTGTGTACCAAAATATCCTGAAGGAGAATGTCCGGCCATCCGTTTGTGACCTCAAGCTGAAGCGAACTTGGGTTCTGCAGCAGGACAATGATCCAAAGCACACCAGCAAGTCCACTTCTGAATGGCTGAAGAAAAACAAAATGAAGACTTTGGAGTGGCCTAGTCAAAGTCCTGACCTGAATCCAATTGAGATGCTGTGGCATGACCTTAAAAAGGCAGTTCATGCCCGAAAACCCTCCAATGTGGCTGACTTACAACAATTCTGCAAAGATGAGTGGGCCAAAATTCCTCCACAGCGCTGTAAAAGACTCATGGCAAGTTATCGAAAACGCTTGATTGCAGTTGTTGCTGCTAAGGGTGGCCCAACCAGTTATTAGGTTTAGGGGGCAAACACTTATTCACACAGGGCTTTGTAGTTTTGGATTTTGTTTTCCCTTAATAATAAAAACCTTCATTTAAAAACTGCATGATGTGTTTACTTGTGTTATCGTTGACTAATATTTAAATTTGTTTGATGATCTGAAACATTACAGTATGACAGCCTCCTTCCTTCCGCTTAGTGTACAGTCTCAGGATGCTGGACTTGGGGTGACACCTGCCGTGCATTGTAAGGAGCTTCCTTGTCTTAATGTCAGTGGCCTCTATCTCCTCCTTTGGCCAGCTTATTATGCCAGCGGGGTGCTGCTAAATTACGGTTTGAGCTTATCTGGAAATTTTGACTTTGAACCATTCAATGAAAGCAGTATAGGAGACAAGAGAGGCAAATATTAAGTCTTTTAGTTTAGTAGCATCATGGTCACTTATATATATAAATAAATATAAAAAATGTCTTTACAACATACAACAGATCAAAATTTATACATTAGAATATCTAATGAGATGGATTTCAGTACTGTTTCAGTACTGTACTCCACAAACCTTTCTACGCATAATATTTGTACCAGCATATATTCACGTTAATAAAAAATATAGATGTGCAGCATAATAGAAATGTGTTGGACGCTGTCTCCAAACAGCTCAAGTATAACTGGATATTTATATTTATGAGTATTTACAGTTTTTATACAATAACTCTGATGCATAATGTCTGTTTGAAAGATGGGGCTCGCTGCAACGTCTGATCTGATGGTACTTAAACTCCTCGTCCATACTCTTCTGTCTCATTGGTTAGTGAGGCCGTCTGTCACTGCTGCTCCTCTTTTCTATTGGCTGGTGTTGTTGGGTTCCATGTGAAGGAAGGTGAAGTCTGAATGAGGGAGTTTCCCCTTTTTCAGTATTTAACCAAGAAGTTAAGAGCTGGGCCCCTTGTAGGGGACACTCCCTTCGAAGGCTGCATTTGAAGACCAACTGCGTCATAGCATCGTGACAAGGCCATCTCTTTTCGGAGGCTCCTTCAAGTACCAAGAAACGCGTTCTTCTGTCCCCAGGCAACGAAGGCTCCAACCGATGCTTCTTCAAGGCCCATCCTCTCCCAAAATTCTTTGTGTGCCAGCAGAGCAGCTGTCAGGGTTCCTAGGTGACCAGAGCGGCGATTCGTAAAGAAACTGTGGGGGCAGGAGCAGTTGGTCAAGTAAACAGGAAATCCTCTGTAGACCAGACAGTCTCATTTCAGGTGGGCCCATGGTTGGGCTTTCACAATCTACAAGGGCCACACCTTTGCAGACTGTGCCCTTTGAAGGATGTACCCCTTGAATTGAGACGCAGCTAAGATGTCGTCATAATAAGACATGAGAAATATTTTCCCTCGTCCTCAAAAAAAAAAACAAAAAAAACAGCTCCTTTTCATGAGTCTTTTCTGTTTCTCTTTTGTCATTTTCCAACAAACTAGTCAATGAGTTTCCTGGAAGTTCTGTATGTCCCCTTTTCACCTGAAACAGGATCTGAGCCAGACAGACAGTGCAGCGATGTACAGTAATTGGCAATGTCATCAGGCATCAATACGGAAAGAGAGCAGCTTCTCAGAGTGCATGTTGTTGAGCGTTCGCAGGGCAGGCAGCTTCAGCAGCAGTTTGGTGAAGCGTGGCGAGTCCATGTTGGGGTGGTTGTTGCTGCTGGCTGACTTGTTGACCAGCAAGCGCAGAGCTTGGATCAGGTTCTCCTGCAGTTGCTCGACCGATGCCACGTTCTCGATACCGGTTCGATCTGAGAAAGAAGAACGCGAGAAATACTGTTTAGGACATGATGTTCATTTTGTCTATGACAGAGAAACAGAAACTGTTCATGGCTTTTGTTTTCCTTACGGTGTACCTCAAGGGCTGATTCTGGGCCCTATTCTCTTCTCAGTTTGGTCATGATTAGTAGATACTAGAACCCGACCGGACCAATGTGTCTGCTGATATGAACTAGCTGCACACATGTTGGTATCAGTATGTAGTACATTGTCTGTCTGCTGATACATGACAAGAAATTGATTGTAATGTCCTGTAAAACAAACAGTTGAAAAAAAGAAAACTATTATTGGTCAGTATATCATTATCTAATTTTTTAAGCTATCCGTATTGGTCTCTAACATCTTGAAGTAGTTGGCCTGTAGTGAATGTACTGGTTTTTAATGCAGATGATACACAATTATATCTTCCTGTCAACCATAATTATTGTTGTGATTTCCTTGATCTAAAAAAATCCCAAACTACGACCAGTCAGTCCTCAAGTCTCAGAAAACAACAGAACAGAAGTTACACATTTAGATGCTTACTTTCTCACCTTCAAAAATATAGTCAGAACGTTTTAAAGTGACATAAAAACAGATATGACATCACTCTGTTGGGACAAAATGCATTCTGGGATACTTGGCTACCTCATGTCAACAGTCAGCTCCTAAATATCTCTCTGTTGGAGAGAACGTGGCTAGAGGTGGACTGCATGTGACTGATGATGTCGTTTAGTCAAACAACCCATCATCCCTCCATCCTCACCTGCAGACACCAGCACCACAGCGGTGAACAGTCCCAGTTCCTCTGCGTTCAGCTCCAGTGCAGCCAATTTGTGGCTGAAGTCAAACATGGCTCCCAGTAGCTCGCTCATCCCCATCGCGTGCAGCTCCTCCAAGCTGTAGGTGGCGCCAGAGATGAAGGTCACCGTCTGCTCCTTCACGTTGAACAGCGACGCAAAACGCACCATCAGCACCTGCAGGGGAAGAAAGAAAAGCCAGGTTAAACCAATCAGGTGAAATACCTCTGAAGATTTGTAAGTGCTGCCTGTGTTTGCCAGACAGGTATGATGTCAACGTATGGCATCATACCTCAAAGGTGCTGGCCTTCAGCAGCGCAACCTGGTCGTTTTGGGACAGAGCATTGAATCCCGGGATGAATTTGGCAAATTCCACCACCTCTCTGACTGCAGGGGTGAAGGACAGAGAGAAGTCCTCCCAGATCTCCTGGTTGGTCTTTGAGGGGTCAGCGTGAGGCTGCATGTTCATCGGACAGGCCTGCAGAGAGAGCAGAGCTCCATCAACCAATCACAGCTCAGCACAGTAAATAGCAGGTGTGCCGACATCGGACACAACACAAAACTAATTGTAGGTGGTGGAAAAAGTGGAAAAGCTAAGTAAATGCATTGGTACTTTTACATAAGTAAAGGTTCTGAGTCCTTCTTTCCACTGAAAATTTACTATGAATGTTGCTGATAAATCAGCACCATTACTGATTAATTATTGATCAGTTGACAGGTTAGTAACAGTAACTAAGGGGGCGGGTCTTAGCACGCTGTCAGTTTAGATAAGATATTTTGATAGGTTCTTACCAGCACTGCGTGATTCTTCATTTGACAGTTCTGCCCCTGGGCCACATGACCATTGGAACCGTATTCTCCAATCAAATTACTATTATGCAAGCTCCGCCTCCCGTTGTCATTGTGATGATGTGTTACGTTGCGGCTGTTGTCTGCCGGCAGGTAATGTCCTGTGTCCAGGTTGTTGTTATGGTGATAGATGGTATTGAGACCGTTGGCGTGGTAACCACTGGGGCAGCGGTTGGGTCCCCAGAGCTCCCCCTCCCTGTTGCGGTTGTGGTTATTCTGTTGCAGATGAGGTGGCGCATGGAGATTGGCCAGCTTGTCGTGAGCATACAGGAAGGTCTCGCGGTGAGCGCAGGTGATGGCGCTGATGGTGGCATCCACCCTGGAGCTGGGAGGAGGGGAGGAGGAAGGGGAGGGGCTCTGAGGAAGAGGACGGGGTGAGGAAGAGGAGGCTGGGGCAGGATGGGAGGGGGAGGAGGGGTTGAGTGGTAAGGCTGAGGGCAGGGGGGCAATGGTCAGCCCTGGGCATGGAGAGGAAGCGGAGGATGAAGATGAAGAGGATGATGATGAAGAAGAAGAGGACACGGAGGAGAGGGTGGTGAGCTGGAAGTTGTTCTGCAGCTTGTTGTTGACCATGTCATTCATGGCGCTCTGCATCTCAGCCAACATCCTCTGTTTCTCACGCTTTGGGATCCGACCAAAACGAACCGCTGTGGACGGAGGAGGAAGAGACAACGTCACAGATCAAGGCTGTGATCACAAGTACACACCAACACTTTTCTCAGACAACAGCATCTTGACTGGACAATGCTGCAAAACCCCAGAGTACGTTCACGGTCTGACTGTCTTTTGTTTTGAAGTTCTGAACGTCGTCGCCTTCCACTGTGCCTGGTGAAGCTGGTTGCATTAGGGTGGGAAAGATCGTGGTTATGGCAAATACATCATGTTAAGCAGTTGAGGTTAAGGAAGGTAAACTCAAGTCTCCTGCACCAGATGGCAAATCCTGGTTAAGATATAACTCTAAATATATTCTTCTCTAGTAACTCAGATCTTTATGCTGCATTCAGACCAATTCAGCTTTCTGCCTCGTGGTAGCTGTTACTCCTCAAGAACATTCATTCATTCATTCATTTTCTACCGCTTAGTCCCTGAACGGGGTCACGGGTGGGGCCGGAGCCAATCCCGGCCGGCAATCGGGCGAGGCGGGGTACACCCTGGACAGGTCACCAATCCATCGCAGGGCTAACACATAGACGAACAACCACACATACATGCACGCACTCCTATGGGCAATTTAGAGACACCAATCAACCTAAGCTGCATGTCTTTGGTCAGTGGGAGGAAGCCGGAGCACCCGGAGAGAACCCACGCAAGCACGGGGAGAACATGCAAACTCCACACAGAAAGGTCCTAGGTGGGGCCTGAACCCAGAACCTTCTCGCTGTGAGGCAACGGCGCTAACCACTGTGCCACCGTGCTGCCCCTAGACAACTGAATAGTAGAACAGGCACTGCTGGGATTCGAAACCAGGATCTCCGGTTTACAAGACACGCACTTTAACCAACTGAGCCACAGCGCCCTGTTCCTCAAGAACATTGATCCTCAATATGACCCTTCTGAATCGAGTGTTGTACAATCTTTTGGACACAAGTCAACTGAAATAGGATTACAGTGCAAAGGAGAAGGTGAACACGGTGCCGTCAGGCCGACAGGGCAGTGTGCAGGTGTGCATAGACACATGGGTGAGAGCTCACCGTCTCGGCTCATGCCTACAGACAGACACTTCTTGAAGCGACACTGCTGGCAGCGGTTCCTGTTGATCCTCATGATGGTGCAGTTGTCGCTCTTCAGACACTTCTTGTACTGTATGTTCTGCTGGATGCTGCGACGGAAGAAACCCTGCAGGAGGAGAAAGGAACATTCTCTTGGTATTTGGAGTCTGTACCTGTCCTGTTTGGTTGACTGTTTGAACTCCTCCTCTCTGGACAGCGTTACAGGTCACAGTACACCAAGACAACCAGGCACAAGGATGGTTTCTTCCTCCGGGCTTGTGCTTTCTCAACTTGTATTTATTCAGTTTTTATTGTTGTGCACATTGGGGGCCACTTGGCCGGACTCAAATTCCTTGTATTCATTATACTTGTCAATAAGGTTTATGCTTGTGTGTGTGTGTGTGTATGTGTGTGTGATATCTCACCTTGCAGCCTTCACATGCGTGAACACCGTAATGGAAACCCGAGGCCACGTCGCCACAGACCTTACACAGTAGCACTATCCCGTTCAGCTCTGAAACACAGTGGTGTGGTGTCAGTGTGTCTACAAGGCTGAGCTCCTGGCTTTGCACTAACACTGTTGTGTGATGTCCGTGCAGATTCTCAGTCATCAAGGTCAATGTAAGCTGAAAAAAACTTGGTTTATAGGTCGAAGACGTTTCACCTCTTATTCAAGAGGCTTCATCAGTTCTGTCCAACTGGTTTATCAGAGAAGTTAAAAACCACAATATCCCAGTTAACTTTAAACCAGGGAACACCCTGCGGCAGAGACTGGTCCACCTGAAGGACAAAACACCCAGACATAAACAGAGTGATGTGGTGTATGCCATTAAGTGTAGTCAGGAGTGTAACGACTTGTACATTGGTGAAACTAAGCAGCTGCTTCACAAACACATGGCCCAACACAGGAGGGCCAACTCCAGTGGACCAGAGTCAGCAGTCCACCTCCACCTGAAGGACAAAGGACATTCTTTTGAGGACAGTGAAGTCCAGATCTTCTACAGAGAACATCGCTGGTTTGAGAGAGGAAGCTATTTTTGTAAAAAACAGAACACCCCTCACTAAATAGGGGTGGTGGACTAAGACACAACTTGTCATCCATCTACAATCCTGTTTTGAGATCTCTGCCCAACAGAACTGATGAAGCCTCTTGGATGAGAGGTGAAACGTCTTCGATCTAGAAGTTTTTTTCAGCTTACTGTTGTGTGTATGTTCATTTGTCCAAAGCCCACAGTCCTCTGCTATACAACCGAGCAGTAAATGTTACACTGAGCAGCTGTGACTGATCAATGAAAAGGATCCAAGTCACATCAGGATCTAAATAAATCACTGGATGCAGCCTGATTTTCAGCCAGATGTAAAACCAAAGCTGTTCAGCTGCACTGGCAGGTGTTAAACATGCTCAGATATCAGCTGTTGTTTGTAACAAGTGGAAAGAAGCCAAGTATCTTTACTCAAGTACTGTAAGTACAGTTTAAGGTACTTGTAATATTTAACTTTATATTGCACTACATTTATTTAATAACTAGCAACTTCGCAGATTTGGCTTATTAATGCAAATACAACTAATAAATGATGATATCTGATTATGTACTGAGGTGCCCAGTGGTTCTGAAGCCATTAACATCAGCTCCACCTTTTCCAGCTGCAACATTACAGTGAAGAATACACGAATGAATCACTATTTATAATCCAATAACATGTATAACAGTATTACTCTGGATAATGAGTACTTTTACTTTTGGTACTTTATGTATATTTTGATGCTAATACTTTTGTACAGTATGTCTACACAGCGTTATTACTACTTTTACTTCAGAAAACCTCTGGTGTGATGTACTTGTGTTCATTTGTGCAGACTTCCAGAAGTGTTCATTCACTCAGGTCACTGATTTCTCAGCTGGAGAAGATGTTTTACTAATGTAGTATTTGGAGAGTACTGTTTATTAATGTGAGGCTACAATTTATTTATTTAACAGATTAATTTCTGCCACAACAACATTTAGCACCGGTTCCTTCACCTGGTCGCCAGTGTTTTCATACAGAAATGCTGAATTGATTCCAACTGACTCTCACTGTGCACAAACACAGGACAGACTCCTCTTTCTCTTCTGCTAACATCTTCTAACAACTTGTTGCATCTTTCAGTTTCACTTCTTTAATCTGTATTTCCTCTGACGCTCTGCATGGACTGGGGCTGCTGTCAGGTTCTTACTGGTCACACTGGCCACAGACTTGCTGGGCAACGCTCTCAGAGAGCCTCCGTCGTCTCGGCCTCGAGGGGAACCTCCTGCCGAGGAGGAGCCGTCATCTCCTGTGGAGCCTGAACTGGAGCTGCTGCTGAGGAAGGATGCAGGTAAAGAGGAGGAGGTGAAGCCGTGCTGGGAGTCAGAGTTCTCGCTGTACAGGGATACTGGACTGGTCCGGGTCGGGGAGTTTCCGCAGGAGCCCACGTAGGAGATCACACCTCCTGCAGGAGAGAGGACGTGTGACAGATGAGACAGAGTTGGTGCTGTGGCTATTCATCTCGTTTATTCACCACTGGCGCTCCGCCTGTGTGCACGTGTCAGTAAATGGCTCCTGTCAGTGCTGCTTGGTGGAGTTCTGCTGCTTTATGCTGCTGCACACATGAACTGAACAGTGGACAGCGTTGCTGCACTACTCTGTTGTCACCTCGCTGTTTCCTGTTTGCTTTGCACAGCTGGTGCACTCGCTCAGTGAGGCTTGTCTTATTGCTGCTGTAAACCAAACAGCTGTGAGGGTTCAGACCAGGTTTTAGGGGTCAGATTAGATCCAGGTTTAGATATGGGGTCAGGTTAAACAGTTAGCTGTGATGGTTAAGGGTAGGGTGAGGGGTTAGGGGAGGCTCTGCTGTATGTCACTGAGGGTCCTCACAGAAGTACTACAGTCTGTGTGTGTGTGGTCAGCTGATGGGAGGGAGAGGAAAAGAGGGGGTGGAAGGCAGATGGTTAGTATGGAGCCTGGCTGTTTTCCCGTTACCGTAGCAACAGATGGGGTGATGTGAGGATGATGAGGGGGAGGAGCTGTCTCTGTAGTAAATGTTAAGAACAAACTGACTTTCTAGGAATTTCGGGAAGAGAGGGAGGAGGGGGAGGAGGGGTCGACTCCTCCCTTCAGCCTCCCTCCCACACCATCGTCCTCCAAAACCTTCTCTACTTCACTCTGAATCAGGACAGTCAAAAACTTGAAAGACGAAAAGAAACAAAACATAAAACAGGCTAATGGACAATAACATCAGAAGAAGTGTCTCATTTCAAAAGGCCTGTGCATGTATGAAACCATGATGAGCGGTGAATCTCGTGTGAAATGTAGTTTCTTTGTTTGACCTACTGTAAATCAAACAGCCTCAAAGTTACAGAAGTAACAGGTACATTTCATTTTAAAGCAGCTCTCAGTACGAGACAACAGAAACATTTACATGTTTTCAGTATCACAGTCACTCTTCGTGTTTCCCTGGACAGTTTCTCTGTTATGTAGTGGTGGAAGAAGTACTCAGGTCCTTTACTTCAGTACTAATACCACAATATACTCTGTAAGACTACAAATAAAAGTCCTGCATTCAAAATTCTACTTAAAAGTACAAATGCATCTGCATCAAAGTATATATATATATTTTAACAAAAAGGCCAGGGCTCTGGGAAATACCCTCCTGATCTAGAAGGCGAAGCCTCATTTTAGCTTCACATAATTTTGAATACACTTGAGTACTGTGTATTTTATTCTGAAAGGATCAGTTTATGTCCAGTATGGAGGAGGAGTGATAACGACATGAAAAGCCTGGCTGCAGCAGAGGTCAAACAGGAAGGGAACACACGCAGCCTCTCATCCTGATGCTGTAGCTCTTCACTCTCCCACGTGTTCGAGCTGCACGCGACGCCTGACTCTGTCTGCACGACTGTGATCGGCGCTGCAGCCTGATTTCACACACCCAGACACATGCTGCTGCTTTAACACGAGCCCGGCCGCAAACAGGAGGACAGAGTGAGCACACAGGCTGATCGTCACTCTGGGATCGCTGAACCATGCCTCAGACGTCTTATCCTTCTGGTGTCATCAGTGCATGTCATGTGCAGACTGATGAAGGATACCTCAGGGGAAAAGATGCTCAGGCAGTCACTGCTTTCTCCTGATACTGTGTTTATTCTGATCAGAGTATGAAGAGTTCCTACAGCCGTGCATGTCAGGTCCATACTGAGGAAACAGCTGTCAGCAGACAAACCACATCATCAGGACAGAGGACCTGGGGAGAGTCGGCTGAGGCTGCACACGTGAAAGTCAGGATGCTGAAAGGGACAATGCCTCACGTCACACTCACTCTCCTTTCCTCTCCTCTCTCTCCATCCATCTATATGCCACCATTACACATCACTAACTTTGTGTCTCCTCTCCCTTCTCCTCTCCTTCTCCCCTCTCCTCACCCTCCCGTAGCATGTCCTGTCTCCCTCCCCGCTCCTCCTCCCTCCCTCATGCACACTCTGCAGGAGTCGTGTGACCTCATCAGTCACGGCCAGGAGCCACGTGCCTCCTCCTCAGTCAGCTCCGCCCACACACACACACACACACACACACACACACACACACACACACACCTCCCTCAGCCCACACTCTCATGTTCCCACCTCTCAGCACACAGACAGTGGGACAGCAGACTTGTGGGGACCTGGATTCACGAAGCAGGTTTACTGGGACCTGGACTGAAAACACAGTGTTTGGTTGGAGCCTGTTAAACGCAGAAAGTTCACTGCTGCAAGAAAACGCTAACAGAGGCACTGTGGGTGTAAAGGCACTGGAGCTGCAGCGGACGGCAGAGAAACACAGCTTCACCAACCAGAAACCCTGAGAGAGCTTCACGTTTTGGTTGTTAGTGTGACAGTGTTCACGGCAGAGAACCAAAGAAGCTGATTGGTCTGTGCTGACGTCAGAAATAAGGAGGTGACGGGAAATTGCTTCCTCAAACTCAAAGACATTTCACAGCAGATCACAGGAGTTTTGTGACTGACTGCTGATCAGTGATCAGACACGGGGAAAGTTTCTAGCAACATTTACTTAAGTACTGTCCTTAAGTACTATGTTGAGCTACTTGTATTTTACATATTTTCTTTTAATGATACTTTAATTCAATTTATACTTTATACTATTTGACGTAATTTATATTCAGTTTAGTTTAAATAGGCTATTATTATAATTATTTAACACTATTTCAAATTTGAATGATACTTTTACTTCACTGCATTTCAGAGGGAGACCTACTTCTTATTGTACTACATTCATCTGACAGCTGCCGTTATTTTCCAGTTCAGACTGTTAATAACAAATAAATGATGCTATATTATTATCGTTTAAAAGACTTTTTGGCCCCTGGTGAAAATCCACAAGTGCTGCTCAGTAGAATATAAAGTCATTAGCATCAACTCCACCTTTCCCAGCAAGTGATGAACACAATAAAGCATCAGCCATAATGATCCAAAACTATCATACACATTCATGTGACATGGTTTTGTACTTTTACTTAAGTAACATTTTGAATGCAGGACTTTTACTTGTAACTGTGTATTTCTACACTGCAGTCTTACTACTTTCCGACCCCAGTACTTCTCCCCCCACTGCATACCTACAGTATGGTCCAGCAGGTACACAGGAGGCGGATTATGCAATGAGCTCGCTGACCAGCAGCCAATCACAGCGCGCCGTGCTCCATGAAAACAAAGCGCACATGGCTGCTTTTGCTGGTCCATGTGAACCGACAAAGGCCGGTATATTGCACGGAGCGCGCGCGCACGCACCCTGACTGGTCCACCTGACACCGGACGACCCACCGACCCATTTACCCGAAGCACAAGTATCACGGTGACTCTCCCCGTGATGATCAGCCTCAGTACGGACATGTGCCGGACTCGGTGGTGTGAACCGGCAGCTCACACCCGAATTCAATGAAACAGGCAGAGAAAAGCAGCGTAGCAACATTTTGCCATTTTGAAGCGCGTCACTGATGCCAAGAGCGTTTATTCACTGACTCAGTTTCCCAGTTTAGACCACCTGCGCCGTAAAAGCACTTCATTTATGCTCCCCCAGTTTCCTGTGCTGGTTTTGGTGTCGAGCCGCGCGTTAAGTTCTCATCCCACAGTTTCCGCGTTAAGCTCCGCTTGACGCGCCGCCTGAGGAGCGATGCGTCAGACGAAATCCGGTACAAATGCAGGTAGGTTTTGAAAACTGAGAGTGACACGTTCCGCTGAACGAACCATCAACTTTCACATCCAAACGCACAATTAGGCATTTTCAAAACTCACGTCAAACACATACGCAACGCGCGCACCACGTCTTGCTTCGCCTTGCTTTGATGTTGGAGGAGGCCGGAGGAAGAGGAAAAAAGTGGCGGGGAGTGTTGTTTACCTGTGTTCTTGTTGTTTGTGTCCATGGCAGCTGTTGTCATCCTGAACTCCAGTAGCGTCGTGCACGTCAGCGTCCTTTAAAAACCGCCCGCATCACAAACAAAAGTAAAACCGGACTCAAACACCACAGAAGAAGAGTCTCCACTCGGTGACTCTACTATACTAGAGACTTCGGTAGAGAAGTCTGCAGCCTCACGAGGAGTCTGTCATCTGCTGCACGCGCTTCACTCTCTATGTATTTTTTCAAACAGAGCGCGCGCCCTGCTGGATGACGATGATGAGAGAATGTGCAGGGGCAGCTGTTCCCGCACGCGGCAGAAAACGGGACCATGTAACCGCGGGGAGAGCCCCGTGCCCCAGTGACACACTTTTCCGCCCCTCCCCTATGTAGCAGTGGTTTAAATCCACGGGCACGTGGAGCTGCCCGCTGCGCTTCGGCAGAGAGGGGCATGGTGGGAAATGTAGGCGGGAGATTACGTTGTAATTTTAGCAGAGAGAGGAAGGAAACATTCATATGGCAGGATTTTACTGTGCAGCTGCACAGGTGTTTACACTGATGCCCCTCCTGACCCAACCCCCCCAACAACAAGGCCTGGGACCGGCGCCAAGAGTGCGCTGCCTTGTGGCTCATTGGTCAGGAAGCATGTACTTTTATCCACCGTGGCCTTGCTACGCTAGAAAGCTGCTTTTGTCAGGACCAGAGATATTCGTGGCTGACCTACCGACGCCACTGAGATGAGTTCATCTCGGCCTCCATCTCCTGCAGCTTCTCTGGTGATGTCTAAGTAAAACCCGAGTAGCAGCACAGGCCGATGGCGCCTCCTGCAGGACAGCTACGGCCTCATCTTCTTCTGTGGTTACTGATGGATCACAACCTGCTGCATCAGTGCACATCCACAGCTTTACAGTGTTTTACAATCACCCAGCAGAGTATCAGCATGTGTGGAAACAATGTGGTAATTACATATGCATTGCTAATGAGCTGGGTAGGCTGTCGGCCCAGATTCTGACAGGCAGAAATGGTTTAACACTGTGACTGAAGACGGGGCCTGTGTGACCCAGGCCTTGACAGTCTTTAGATAACACACTTTGCTGCTCAGTGAAACACACCCCCTTCCTCGCCCATAAGAAAAACCTAGCCTTGTGAGAGCGCTCTTTGCTTTGCATTGAGCCCTTCTCGGGTCGTCTGTTGGTAAAGGTGGAGCTGATGGTAACTACCTTATATACTTATACTGGGAAGTACTTTCCATCCTGCTGGGTAGCTGGTGGATTTCCTACTGGGATCAATAGAGTCTGATGGTTCTACTGGGTTTGGTTTGATTCATCTGGTTCTGGGCCTGAAGTTATCAGGTACATGTAGTGTAGTAAAAAGTACACGGTTTGTCTCTGACATGGAGTCACAGGATGAAGGAGCAGGACGTGGAAGTACTCAAGTAAAGTACAAGTAAGTGAAAATTGTACTTAAGTACATTAAGCTGCTTTTGTTACTTTCCACTACTGCAAGTGGCACCAATATGCAGCCGAACCCACTCATACTTTCAACTTTACAGCTGAAACTGTAGTTTTCACATTTGTGTGTTTGTTGTGTATAAAAACATGATACAAGAGGACATAGAAGAAATGTTACCTGTAACATGTTCCTTCTCCTTCAACTGCAAAACTTCTGTAAAAGACACAGATCCATGAAACTGGCACAAACACTCACCAGCATCTAGAAACACTTTACGCTTTATTTCTAAATCAATCAGTACACAACACATGTACAAATAATGCATCACTTCTGCTGCCATTTATAAGTTGTACTATGGCAACAACACTGGTCCAGCCTTGGTCTCATCGTCACAGTGAACAGTTTTCACGCAACTCCTCTTTAACCAGCCAAGCGTTGCTGAAGCAGACAGCGTGTGTAGCCTGCTCAATAAAGTTACTGTACATTCATTTATTAGAAAAATTTAACTGTAGTAAAAAATACATTTGTTATTCTGATTGCACAAGAACAGTCTTCAGTGATGATGCATGTTGCAGGATAAAGGTGATAAAGGCCCTTCACTCTTCTAGAGGCGAAACAGGAATTAAAAAGCTCCAGTGATTACAGTGATCCTTCTGAGGCTTCGTCATTTAGGCCATTGTGGATTTTATTTTGCAGTAAAGGATCATGGAGACGACCATGGCACAAATCTGAGGGGGACATAGATGTTAGGAAAACATACAACTAAAAGGTTGAGTTTCATTTTTGCTTCTGTCAGTAAGACGTAAAGCCTGAAAAATGAGGAGGATGAGACGTGGTCTTTACCTCCAGAGCTGCGATCCCCAGCGCCACTGCCACAATGACCACCGTGTTGTCGTTGACCAGCTGCTTGATCTTTGGGAAGCAACCAGGGCTCATCTGAGAGGAATAAGGGAAGGAGGCAGAGTAAAACAATGAAGGCCAGTGTTTCAGCATGATGTTGTTGTTGTTTTGCATAAATCCAACACATTGCTCTCTGCAGTGTGAGGAGCTGGTGGAGCAGTGTAACCAGAGCAGTGACTCTGCACAGTGAGGCCTTTCTCAGCCTGTGGAGCTGTGTGTTGGAAACAGACTCCCAAGTTTCCTGAGGAGGAAATCTGCCCCCCAGTGCAGCGGTTTAACAGCTGGAGGACAACAGTGGAGGTCTACGGCCCAGAGTGACGAGTTGGACCAGGGTCTGGACTCACACACATTACGGTGAGGACACCACGTTCACTGGTGCTGCTGGTCTCTGGACGGGGATTGTGGGGAATCACACATACACACAAAACCACCAGCTGTGTCCTTTAATTTAAAAAGATTTTGGCTCATGCGCATGGATGAGCTGTAGTCTGTTTGCTGTTGAAGCTCTTACCGTGCCATTGATGGCTGCCGCTGCATTACAGGGGTGAATGACATTCGGACAGCACTGTGGTGGGAACTGACTGCTGTGATTCACATAGTAGGGAGAGCCCACGAAGTCTGAGGCGTTGTAGAAACCACAGCACTTTAACTACAGGACACAGAGAGAGCTCATGTGACCAGAGCGCTGGAGACACAGTGCTACAATGACTTGTGTGCAGCAGAATCACCACTCACCGAGTTCATCGTGCTGTTCCACAGGGCTGTGGTGTCCGCATTTCCCCCATAGTCCTTCTTGATGTTCTGAACTGCTGCCTTGCCAATCTTGTTGAACAGCTGGTCTGCCTAGAACGCAAGAATACAGGAGTGTCTGCACACGTGTACCAAATGGTAACCATGGCAACGTGGCCACGGAGACCCTCTGTATGACTTACCAAGGGTCTGAAGACCAGGATCACCACTGCTCCTGCAACCTCGGCGATGAAGACCAGCAGGACGATGATAAAAAACTGGGAAAGAAACCTGAATGTTAGGCATTTGATAAAAATGGCGATTTACCCTGTGAGTTCCTCATTAGTGGACAGGAAGCCACTTCGTTCAGATGCACCAACAGGTAAGCCGTCTTCAGACAGGATGCGGTGCGCGCTCTGCTCCACTATCAAACCCATTCATGTCTGTGTGGCAAAGTCCCTGCCTGAAGTCAAACACAGTTCAACTTGGGCACTGCGCTCTGTGACGACACCGTGACACGTCCAATTGTAGAGAATCTGGCAGACCACAAAGGAAATGGAGGAGAAGCTGATGGTGGCGGCCTCACACCCTCCTCTTCTTTGCTGCGACTCATCTCCTCCTCATCAGTACTACTAAAGCCAGAGCTTTTCGCTGACATGTAGAGAGATACATCATATATCCAAGTCCGCTGCTCGAACAACTAGTTAATGTCTGCTAACCACCTCCTGCAAAGCTTTTTGGTCGCCTAGCAACTGGCGCCCAACATACATGCAATTTGCGTGTGCATCCTCCTCCCCCGTACTGCAGCGCACACCACGTCCTGTCTGAAAACGGCATTAGTGCTCACATTTTAAAGGAACAGTCTGACATTTTGCTTTGCCATTGTCACAACTAAATCTGAAGCTACCACAGCACAGAGTTAGCTTAGCACAAAGACCAGAAACGGGGAAACAACTAGCCTGGCTCTGTCTTCCTACAGGCCTTCTAAAGCTCACTGGAGAACATTTCTTAAATGTGGACAAAAACCAAAGAGTGAAACCAGGTTGTTGTAGCTTCTGTGCTAGCTTACATGCTTCACACTTGACCAGCTGTTCAGGAAAAGTCAACAAATTTAAACAAAAATCAAGATTAATAACTTGTGAAGACATCAAATAATTAAGTAACAAGAAATTCAGGGGAATGACACGTTCTGGTTTTACTGGCTGACATAAGCTAAACAGCTGCTGGTGGACATTTAGGGTACAGATGTGAGAGTGATCTCAGTCTTCTTATGGCTCAGGTAGGAAGCACATAAGCTTAATTCCCAACATGTGTACTTATGTGTTTAAGCCTGTACAAAGGAGGAGACAGCAGCGTACCAGCAGCAGCATACAGCGGCTCTCTCTGACCGCACCACAGCAGCCTAGGAAGCCGATGATGAGCAGCACTGCTCCGATTGCGATCAGCAGGTAGCCCACCTGCAGCACCTGGCCCAGCTCTGGAGGAGCATTGTCTATCTTCCCCAAGAAGCTGAGGATGGAGCCACTGTCCACCTTCACCCAGATCCCGACACCCAGGATGGCAGCACCCGCCAGCTGAGGGAGAGTGGCAGTGAAAAGAGGGCACAGGAAGGGTTTGTTTTCAGCATTACAGGGACACGGCAACCGTTTGACATATGACATATGTGATCGCTCCTCAGTCCTTGCTTGAGCCAGAAGTTGTTCCAGTCTGCCATCATGAAGGACGTCCCAAAGCTCTGAAAAGCGAGGAGGCTGCCATGAGCGAGGATGCACAAAAGCATCCTTCACACAAGTCTTTTATGGACCATTGCCCCTTTATCAAAAACCATATGGTGATTGAACAATTCAGAAGATGGACTGGAGGAAAGGATGGTTCATGTCTGTGGGCGTGTCTCAAGTTTCTTTTGTGGGCCATCATTTCCCTCACTTGCATCTTTCCCCTGTGTCCACCTAAGATCCTAGCAAAAAAACCCAGGAGAGAGGACTGAGGAAACATGTTATTAACAACATGAGCCTTCTTCTGAAGTGTCCAATCATCAACTGATTTCCAATAAAGGGGTGTGTCGGTCCATAAAAGCCTTCAGTGAAGGATGGTCTGGTGCTTCCTCACTCATAGCTCCTCCAAAAGCTTGGAACGTCCTCGGTCCTCGGTCGAGGGGAATGACTTCCAGGTTGAGTGAGGATTGAGGAACCATTAATTCTTCTCACCTCACATGCTATGGGGGCAGGACTAAGTGACAAGGAAAAGATACAAGTGAGGGCAATGTCTCTGCAATTAAGGGAACCGAGAAGTATCCTTGAACCTTTATGTAGCAGGAAGGCTCTAAGCAGAGCCATTAAGTCTGAAGAGTTGCAACACTGAGGGGTCAAAAATGGCAGCAGGTCATGTGACTCATTTAGCTTCCAATAGTTCCAGTCAATTAATAACTGCTGTTTTCTGGGGGCATCAGAAGTTACTGCCTTGCAAACTAATTCAGTGTTCTGTTGTTATCAGCTCATGTAACTACTTAGCTAGGTACCCAAAGTATTAAAGTGACCCAATATTTGAGAGAGATAGTCACAAAGATTGTGAAATGTGTTTTAAAACATGTCACTAACTTAAAATGTCACAATTATAATTCCTGCTATTGATTTTGGCTCCTTACTTCAGAAGTCAGTGTAACTCTCTGGCACCACTGCTAATGTTTGCAACTATTCAACATTCCCATGATCTGCCATTACTATCAATAAACTGTCGTTAGAGAATCGTCACTCTCCTTCTTAATCCACGTTGGGTCTAAGGACAGGTGAGATGCATCATGGGAATTGTAGGCTGCAGCATGTTTGTAGCTTGACCCTGTTAGTTACCAAAAGTCAGAATATCTCGACCTAATTTGGGCCCCTCGGTGTTGTCTAATTTAAGACTGTGCCCCAGCTCTTTTTCCTCTCAAAGGTTTTAGAGAAAATAGTTTTTAATCAGCTACAGGCATTTTTACAGGATCGTTTCATTTTTGAGAAATTTCAGTCTGGGTTTAGATCCCGGCACAGCACTGAATCAGCACTCCTAAGGTTTATAATGATATTCTTTTATCTATTGATGCCAGATGTCCTGCTATGTTGGCTCTTTTAGACCTTACAGCTGCCTTTGACACTGTGGATCATACAGTCCTCTTGTTTGGCACATCTGTAGGGATCCAGGATACTATTTTAAAACAGTTTCAGTCATATTTATCTAATAGGGGTTTCATGCTTGGGGATATTTTTTTTCTCATGCCTGCTTTCATATGGTGTGCAACAAGGTTCCATTCTTGGCCCCGTTCTTCTCTTTGTATATGCGTGTGCTGGCGTTTATTATTAGTAAATATAACGCGTCTTTCCACTGCTATGCAGATGATGTACAAACGTATTTGTCACTGAGATGTAACAAGGGAGTTTCCAGCCTTTTGATTGCCTGAGTGACATTAAAACCTGGTTGTCTCAAAACCTTTTTTGTCTCAGTGAAACTGAGACTGAATGTATTATTTTTGTTTCGCATTTTATCCCAGGTGGTACCGACTTTAAACTAGGAACTCTTGCCTCTTGCACTCAGCCAATTGTAAATAAAAACCTGGAACCTGAAATTCGACAAACAAATTAACCTGTTGTTAAAAAGAAAAGACTGAACTTGACTGAACTTTTGGTTGGAGTGTAGAGATCTCTGGTCCTCCAACCAATTTACACCATGTAAACAGTGGGACAATAAAGCTTTTTCAACTTACAAAGATGACGCCATTGAAAATAAACATCATGACTTTGAGGAACCCAAAGCATCCCATTGTTGCTGCTGACTGTTGAACCTAGAAACAGAAAAAAGAGAAGTTGGTCAGACATTAAAGTCATAGGACTTTGTTTTGTGTGAGGTTCAGTTTATATACAAGATGAACCACAGTTTTACATATCACAGTCCTGCTGACGTGTTTCACTGAGTTTCACTGTTGTCATGTGCTGCCAGTGAGGCCACAAATGAACAGTAGGACTGGGTTGTTTCCTGTCTCAGGTGTGAGAACAGGTGAGGGGGGAAACACCTGTTCTCTCCCAGCTCCTCACCTTTTACCCTTTGTGAGACTAATAACTCGCCTCCCTCCAACAGCCGAGCACTGAGGCTTTCTTTTCCCTCTGAGGGCCTTTAATAATCACCTATCACCTTACCTTTGTTTAGCTGAGGAGGAAGTGCGGCGCCCTGCAGCTGCTGCAAGCATTTCACTAAACAAATGGCATGAGCAGCTATGAATGCAAATGAGGAAAGAACCACACATCAACACTACTGATGTGAAAAGGTCTGTTTCTCTGCAGCTTCTCCCTTTTTTTACATCCATATCTGGAGCATGTGCTACAGTACAACACGTCATAAACACAGAGATGATGTGGTCAAGTCAGGCTTTACATATAGAGCCCAGCGTCACAGTCACAGCTTACAGCCTACGACACCCTCTGTCCTTAGAGCCAGAGCCAGAACAGCTGTTCTGCTCCTGCACTGAAATACAGCCAGTAAAAAACAAAGTCAGGGACAAAAGGCAGCATTTGATAGTTAAAATCAGCAGAAAGAGTCGTCTCGCATATCATTCTAATTCAGTTCAGGCGGCTGTAAAGGCTGTGGTTGCTGCCTTTTCACACTGGAGACTTTCTCCTGCAGAAAACAGACTCCACTGCTTGTATTGGCAAAGAAAACTCTGTGGTCACCCCTGGCATGGACTGTTTGACCTTCTGCCCTCTGGCAAAAGGTAACGGGCCACGTGGTGCAGCACAGCCTGCTTCTTGCCATCAGACAGCTACATGCTCTTTAATATGGCAAATGAATGTACAGTGAGAGTATGTAATGTGCAATACAAGAGGTGTCTATTGTAAGTTTCTATTTTATGGTCAGTGTTTTATTTATTTAAATATTCTTCTATTCCATGAGACTTATTTCTAACAAGATGCTTTATGTGAGTAGCTAGATGCAACATAACCTTGTTCCGCTGCGTACCCTACTTAACCCTGTAAAGCCTGACACATCAAAAAATAGCCAGAACATTCTAATATTTTGGAAGTGAGATGTTTGTTAAACCTTTTAACAAAATCCAAAAGAAAATTCAAGATTTTTATTTGCCATTTATGCACAGACAGACAGTCCAGGCATAAAGGAATAAATGTGCCATATTATTTAGATTATTTTATTTTTTTTGTATCACATTCGATATCTGGGCAATTTTGGCAACTTTTTTTGCTCAAACTTGTGTAGCAAATATGATACAAATGGTTTTCTAGGGTTAATAAATAGCTTGAATGACAAAGTGAATCTCGGTGGCTGGCTGCTGCTGCTAATCCTGAGCAGCTACAGAAGCACATCATGACAAACCAGCCCAACTAACTAACTAACAAACACATAATATTAATCTTATTTATCACGTATGACTTGACAGCATCCTGTGTGAATCTCCACCTGCCTCCACTGCTCTTGAGTCATGTCCAAATGTGTGCACCTACCTCCCAGCAGGGAGAACAGGGTCCTCTGTGTGGCACGTCAAACAGACAAGTTGTTTCAACTGTGGCCGAGCAACAACTCTGCTGTGTATAGAAACCGACTGCTTTCTAGCAGCTGGGAGAGAAGAGACCATGAGGGACCATGTTCCCTTCCCCCTTCTCTCATCACCCCTCCTCATCTGCTGCAGCCTTCACAGCTATTTTGCATTCCCTGACACCAAATTAACCAAAAACAGGAAGTGGCTTGTCAGTTCATTTGCCTGTTCCAGTAAAGCTGGCTGTCATCAAGTTAATCATACATTCTCGGCCGAGACTCCCTCAGCAACATAACCAGCGGTTGCCTTGACTCCTCCAAACTCCCCCTGTGGTTTTCCCCCTCTGAGCATGTCCTGCTTCCTTACACTCAGCGCCTGCACTCTGACACCGAGGTGTCGCGGTGGTTATGTATTAACAAGACAGAGAAACCTGCAGATCTCAAAATGGTCGAGGCAGGACCCGGTGTTAATTGAACACAGGTTGTAAACGACAGGAGCATTTGTGATAAAGTGGGTTTCCATCCAATGCAGTGCAAGTCTGAACCGAGTGTTTCCATCCAGTGAGACTGTAGGAGTTGGTTCACTGAGATGCCCAATGACCTACTGCAGCAGAGGTCACAACAAGATGACATCACCGAAAGAGTCAGAGCTCAAACTGTGGATAAAGTAGAACACCTGATGTCAGGTGATGTTTCATATGAGGAAGGTCACATCCTCCTCATCGCTCCTCATCGTCTGAACAGTTCTGCTGCCATTTCTCAGCTCCTAACTAAAGCTTGAATCATGATTCGTGTTGGCCAGGTTTAACTCACCAGGCCTGGCTTCACACAGAAAACTCAGCCTTTGTCTCTGATGTAACCAGGGCCTGATTTTCACAGTGGCGTCCGACACCACGGCGACTCCAGCAACCGGCCGTAAGACAGAGCTGTACAGTCCTGTCTGTGGGCGTTACAGCTGACTGTGCTATGTTGTGGTTTAAAACACAGGGATCTGTTTGTCCAGCCCGACTTCCTGGATCATATGTCACTGCCTGACAGGTACAGGAGATGACACACCCCCAGCAACACAGCCCACATTGGGTTTTAACACAAGAACAAACCTGTGAGTGAATCCACTGCACTCTGTCACATCACGCTTTGATCAGCTTTTCCCCATCAGCCAAAGGTGAAACCTGGTGGATGGAAACTCACCTGTTACCTACAGACAAATCTCACATCTCCAGTCTGACTGTTGCTGAGGTCAAGGTTATTTTTGTCTAATCTTGGCTTTGATTGTTCAGTTTTATGTTACAAGTCTTGTTTTCTTCATCGCTTACCATCTTGGGACCTTGTCGGAAATAACATACATGAACCATATCATCTCTTTTCATGGTCTTACAGGCTGTTAACAGAACAAGAAGCCGTTGCCTGGAGGAGATGTCTAATGCTGTGCTGTGTGCGTTCAATAAACACCATGGGTTGCTTCTGTATTTGTTGGTCTGAGAGCAAGAAAACCTCTAAACAGTCTCTGACTGACCATCACAGACATAGACGCCATTGAGCAGAATAACTGAAGGCAGGTCTCAGGAGACAAAGGGCCATTGTTGGACAGATCCCTCCCTACGGTGGTACGACACTGGCATTCACCAGAAAACAACCAAAGGGCTAAGATGCACCTGGAAAAGCTACTGTGTAAATGAGTCCAAGTGAAGCATGTGATCAGTTTACCTTTCACGAGAGAAGTCCAGGGATGTGTGCTCCGAGTCTCTGCCTCCACTCTCGTGATGGAGGCCAACACGCTGTGAGGTAACAGATGTAAATCACCAACAGTGTCCTCTGTCTGCTGCTTCCTGGTGCTCCTGCCTGACTTTCCCTGCTTTGTGCTCTTATTTTAGGAGCGCCGGCTGGTTTAAGTCCTGTGGAGGGAGGAGGGGCAGGAAGGCGTAACCCAAGCAGTTGACTAATAACACACATCACCATGGTGTCGGGCTCCTGAGGGAGGGAGGAGTCAGAGACAGAGGTAACACCTGTACCTGCACCAGGCTGGGAACACACATACTGAGAGCACTTATGTTTCCAGGTGTTAATCTGAATCCAGTGTATATGACAATACAAGGTGACCAGAGGCGTTCCTAGTATTCTGATCCTCTCACGTATGCAGCTGGGGAGGACAAAAATATAGAGACACCTCTGAATATAACGTAGTCCAGTACAACACCACCTTCAACTATGATCTCAGTAGTAAACATATAATTACATTTATACGTTTATGAGATTCACCAAAAACTGAAACATTTGAGCTTCATAAACACAGATGTTAAGGTGGAAGTGTTGCACTGAAGTGCACACAGCTGTACAGGTGTACCTAATAAAGTGGCCAGTGAGTGTACTTTTACTTGATAAAGGATCTGACTACTTCTTGTGCCCCAACTCAGGTCAGAGCAATCATTTCTGCCTCTTGTGTTTGTGCTTTTCACCACAACACCCCAAACCAGGACCGCCTCCTGGAGCCGGACTGGGAATTGCAGCTCGCCGACCAGTAGCTGGCAGCCGGGTTTTGGCTCCAGGGGCTGACAGGGACCTGTCTGCAGACAAAAAGGATGGATTTAAAGCAAGACTGTGACCGGTCAACCTTGGCTGGATTCAAGTTAATTTTAACCCAAACCCGGACTCTGACCCTGCACCACTTACCAACTTCAGGCTAATATTAACTACTTCTTGCTGAGGTCAGCAGTCTCCCATCTTGTCTGAGCCAGGTTCTGTTTATGGGGCCCGGTTGGAAACACCCCACAGTGTCACGTGGCTGCCACCTTTTGGGCAGCGGGCATCAGGAGTCAGGTGCAGTCAGACCAAAGCACATTTCCCAGTCATGTTAAACTGACTGAACTTTGACCTGAGAAATGTGGAGGTCCACCTGGTTTGAGAGGGGCTGTGACCTCTGACCTCTGCTCAGAAAATGTTTTCTAGCTGCAGCACTAACACTGCTAACACTAGACACTGTTCACAACTTGGTGAACGGCTCCTCCTGGTGAAGTTGGCAGCCCTACACTCTTCTGCTTTTCGCTACACCAGACTAAATTAAGGCAGATTTAGCTCTGACTGCACCGCGAGTCAGGTGTGCCGATCCCTGGCAGTGCAGATTATACCTGCTGCTAAAATCACTGCGTATAAATACAATTTTCACTCTTTGACTCCTAGCCCTCACTTATCCCAGTGGTACCATGCAACCAGAAGTTGATTGTATGAGTTGACTCCACCATATTTAAACCTTACACTTACACATACATCCAGAAACCAGTTACATTCAAGACTGAGGCGTCCAGTGTGCGTGAGATCACTGCCTGACTAGGTGTCAGGACACTTTCCTGTATTTATGCACACGCACACTACTGAACATTATGCAAGAGGCACGAACACGCTGCATTTTATTCACTTGTGTCTTGCAGAAGAAGAACAGCACACCAAAAACACCAGTCTTCTCATTCATATATTTCACTGATTCATCTGTTAACAGAAAGGTGCATCTGCTCAGAAACTAAAATACAAACATCCAAAAGGGCAGGATTTTCCTGAGAAGCTGTCACATTTAACTTGCAGGATTTCTCATGTGTGTGTGTGTGTGTGTCTGTGAGTCAAGACACTGGGATGGCAACAACAGAGAACAGGAAAATGTCGATGGCCCACACAGCAGCTGCTCACTCTGGACATTTGTGCAATACATGGCGCTCAGACCTCCATTTTCACAGCCTTCATTTCAAATATATTAAAACACACATATGTAGTGGCATCGACATTTATCCACCACAATCCTGCTTAGTGGTGCATTAACGGACCAAGCAATCATATTTTATAGTTAATCTTTAAAGGACCATGCAAGTGTCTGCGTGTTTTACCCTTTAAAAAGAAAGACTGTGCCCCATTTACCACTGTGAAGATGTTCCTTTGGTGGAATCACTTTAACTGGCCATTGACAAACCTGCTACAATCAGTGCTGACAGATTTAGCACCGAGAAATTCGTACTCATTCTCTAAACAGCAGGTTCTGATTTCAGAGGTAGAAAACTGGAGGCTTCTTATCCCTCGACAACGCTGCTGACTGAACTAATGATTGTAGCTAGCTAGTTAATTCAGCTAGCTAATGTAATCTCTATGAATTGGCTGGAAATCTGCAACTCAACATCTTGAACGCTCCAGACTGACTCACTGTAAAACAGGAATCCTATGGAAGGTCATATGGGCGTGGAAATACGTTAAAGTTACATGTGTGCTAAACGTTAGCATGCTCACCAGTTAATACAGAAGACAGAGATAAAGGAACAGCACAGTGTGGCTCTGCACTGCAGATAAGAGCATGGCAGTCGGTGTTTTAAATATGTTCTAGACCTGCTCAGCGTTAGCTGCTTGGTGACTGAGGCAAGACACAGTTTGCGTCATTCATTTCTCCAAACAGAACATTTCACTTTAACCTTAGGATGAGGACTCCTCACTGTGTTTGGGGAGAGTAACAGTTTATACTCGCCCTTTGCACCCGTGCACCTGGTGGCACGTGCCAATATAACGTTACAAGCGTACGGCACGTGGTGCGCATTGGTGTCCTTTTGCCAGGCTGTGCACCTCTCAATTTTTGTAACTTGGCGTGTGCCAGCTGTGGCATCAACATGGAGCCGTAACCATATATACTTGGTTAATGGTCAACTGGACACCACTGATCAGCAGTGGATTACCAGTGTAGCGGCTGGGCCCTGTTCTGTGAAACAGCTGGTCCTGCACAGCTGTTCCCGTGGCTCACGTGTGCCTGTGTGTGTTCACATCATCCTTGACACAGGAGGTCAGCACAGTCTCTGTCTTCACTGGAAGTCTTCCTGTGGCTTCCACGCGCTCAGCTGCACCTGTGCCACCTCAGGTGGCCTGTTTGTCGGGGTGGCTCTTTAGCTTGTGGAATTTCACACTGTCCAGCTTCTCGAACCTCTTGTCGCAGAAGTCACAGGTGAAGTTGTAGTGGGCCTCCGGAGTGTGCTTCCTCATGTGCCAGTTCAAGGACGCACGCTGGCGACACTGGTAGCCACAGATTTCACACCTGACACGCAGGTGTGGGTGAGGAGAAGGAAAGAGACAAGTGACTATCAAGCTGCATCATGTTGCATCATGTTGTGCTTATGGATTTTTACTGACTGTCAAATTAAATCATTGTTTACTTTCATTTCTGCACCAGTGAGGTCAAACGTATCCCTGCACTGGTGCAGGACCTTCAGACTGAACTAAGTGTTGCAGACTGGAGTCTAAGCTGTGTCACCATAAAATGTTTAACTCAGCCTCAGTAACTCACTGCAGCGGTGTCTCTCCTGTGTGTGTCCGCCTGTGAACCTCCAGGTGATTTTTACGCTTAAATGATTTCCCACACGTCTCACAGATGAAATCTCTGACCCCTGAAGAAAAATTCAGTTACAGCTGGAGGTTTGTGAAGACGAGTCTCTGACCTGACAGGTGCGTCTGCGTGAGCCCACCTGAATGGATGATCATATGGCGATGCAGGTGGTTCGACAGGTAGAACTTTTTTCCGCAACCTGGATGGGGGCACACCTTGGTCCTCCCTTTCCTGTGAACCAGGTTCACGTGATTCTACAGAGGACACAGATTTTGAACTGATTATAATTCTCTGGAAACTGTAGCTGAAATGTAATGTATGACAGAGCTGATGGGATTTTACCTGAAAGCTGCTAATAGCTACATAGACTTGGCTGCAGCCCTCATATGGACAGTGGAACATCTTCAGCATCCCGTCGGCCTCGATGACAGGGCCTCGCCGGTTTCTCTTCGACCTGACACTGTGAAACGGCACACTGCAGACTGAGCCCACCTCACTGGAGCAGAGGTGGATTTACAACCTCAAATCACCATGTGGAGTGTGTGGACCACAAACCTGCTGAGACCCCTTTGCAGCTCCGGGTCACTACTCAGCTCCAAAGAGTCGACAGCTGGCTGCAGCAGCTGCTTGTCACTCAGGCCTGCAGGGAAACAGTGAAGACCCATCTCAGAATGGCTCATGCAGATAGCAGCTGAATCTAAAGGCCCTTACGTACTGTACTGCCTTTTCCTTTTCAAGGCAGGATCCGTGCACCTTTATTCCGTCTAGTTTTCTGTGGATAAGGCACAAAACTGGAACGGCGGGCCATTTTCATTGCTCCTCTGGTCACCTCTGGTTCTAGTTGGAAGGTAGTACCAGAGGTGAAACAAAGGGGAGACCCGCTCTTTGTGGAAAGGGTGAGCTGGCAGTCCGGGGCCAAGTGCTACGTTTTGATGACGCCATGTGTGTGCGACACTATCATCAGAAGACAACAGCCTGAATTCACAGGCTGGCTCACGATTATGGCGCCCTTAGCTTGATCTGTATGAACAGCACAAGGGTGGGACATTGGCGACCCTTTGGAACAGCAGCGGTGCGGGATCTCGGGGTCCTCAACACCATCACAGTGTGTTGAGGGGAAAACAGGCACCAGGATACCATTCTGAAGGGACTTCCTGTTAGTGACATGTCCATCTGTTGCTGGATGAAAACAATGACACACACACCCGTGAAGTCCCAAGTCTGCAGTGAGTGTCAGTGAGCGTAGCACACCTGTCATGGAGTCTTCCTCCTCTGCAGCTCTGATTTTTGAGTCGGACGGGCACACCTGGTTGTAGGTCACACCCCCGATGACGGTGCAGGTGACTTCCTCCACGTTTCCACTGCCCATATTGAGCTGGATGCCATCTGATGCCAGGGCCTCGTAGCTGGGGCCAGTGATGATAATCAGCTGGAAAAGACAGGAATTTGGAAAAACAATTCTAACTTTTGAGTAAAGCTGCTACAGAGAGACTTCACTTTATTCTGTTCTAGATTTCATTTGAAACAGATCAGACATTTCTGCTCATCAGTCTACACTCAGTAGACTCGGGGTGGCTGTGGCTCAGGAGCCAGAGCGGTCGTCCCCCAACTGGAAGGTCAGCGGCTCAATTCCCACCCCTCCTCAGTCCACATGTCGAAGTGTCCTTGGGCAAGACATTGAACCCCTAGTCACTCCAGAGCAGCGCCGCCATTGGTGCGTGTCTGTGTGTGAGTCGGTGCCACAGATGGCTGCCTCGGTTCTGTACCGGAGACAGATTCCTTGTGTGTAACATACTGGGCCAATAAAAGTGATCATTATTATCAGTAGCCTATAGTGAAACAATGAAGACATGGTTTAGATGCTGTGTATTAAAAATCACAAACTGAAATGTCTCCTTTACACAGGTGTTCAGTGCGTTATGTGAGGACTCTGTAGGACCCGCTCTGGCACCAGTTACTGCACCAGTCTTCTTGGCTGAGTCTCATCCAGCTGAGCACACCTGGGTCTGGGCAGTTTACCCTCTCAGGCTCTGTCAGACTGGATGGGAAGTGTCTGTGAGCTCTTCAGGTCTCAGATGTTCTCTGGGGGTTAGGTCTGGACTTGGGCTGGGCCCCTCAGGGACAGTCAGAGACTGGTCCTGAAGCCGCTGCAGTGTCTGGGCTGCTTCAGGTCACTGCTGAAAGGTGAACTGCGTTCATCCTTCCCTCAGTTCTGACCAGTCTCCCTGTCCCTGCTGCTGAGAAGCCCCCCCACAGCAGGATGCTGCCCCCACCATGCCTGACTGGAGGGATGGTGTTAACAGGTGATAAGCAGAGCCTGGTGTCCTCCACATAAAGTGCTGGAGTTCAGGTTCTGTCTCCTCAGACCAGACAGTCTTTCCCCTTCTGGTCTACAGAGAGCTCCTGGACTTCATGTCCTGGTTTTAGTCCTGACCTCCAGGGTGAACTGTGGGACCTTGTACACACAGGTGTGTGTCTTTCTACACTGTGTCCAGTCAGCCCAGTTTGCCACAGGTGGACTCCAGTCAGGGTCCACACTCATGTCAGACAGGATGCAGCTGAGCTCAGTCTGGAGCCACAGCAGAGGTTCTGGAGACTTTTGGAGATGAGAGGCTTCAGTTATTGAGTTTTAATAAAATGGCAACATATTTTCACTGTGTCACTGAGGGCTGCTGAGTGCAGATCGGTGAGCACAAGAGTGGACAAAGTGAAGCCACTGTACCTGCTCCTCAATGTGTTCAGCCACTTCTCTGCTAGATCCTCATCGACCTACCTGTGAGCCTTCCAAAGACATCCTCTGGTCAGGAATCTCACAGCTGGTCACCACCGTCTGCAGAGTCTGGGGGTCAAACAGCTCACTCTGCTCTTGGACCTGCACGGCTGGAGGCACCGAGTCACTAAGGCTCTGGGACAGCACCGAGTCGTCCTCCGTCTTCTCCAGTTTCTCAGCTAAAGATGTCATCACACTTGTAGCACACTCGTACCTGTGTGGTAGAGCCCTGATTTCTTCTTCTTCTCCGAGTCCCTCACATTCTTCTCTGCCTCCCCTCAGATCCTCTGCCTCCTCCTCTGAGGGGATGGAGTGAAATGCTGTGCCCGGGGAGTCTTGCTGTTTCATGACCACCTCCATCTCCCAGACAGGCTGTGCTGTCAGCTGATCATCCCTGGAAGACACGTCTACACCGGGCTGGGGGTTTGGATCTGCTGCCTGTTCCACCACGCTCATGGTTGTATGTTGCACCTCAGAAACATCCACATTTTCTCCCACATCTACAGAAAAGCAGGTTTATAAAAAGTTGTTGATCATCAAGGAGTTCAGCCTCTGATAAACATCTGAAGCTATTAACTCTACCTCATGTCTTCTCAGCTTCGAAGGTGTAGTGAGACTCAAAACAAACTGACACCATAAACCGCTGCGAACCGCTTTGAAGCTAAGATGTGAACTACAGATGCCTGGTTGGGACAAACTGTACAAACTGCACAAACTGCACCCTCCAGCCTGAAGCTAGCTTTACCTGACTAATGAGTCTCGGCTCTATGGTGGCACACCCTGTGCCTTTGTCACTGGTTTATCATACACTGGGGAGAACCACCTTTAAGTGAACTAAAACACCACTCTGCACCTTTGAACGGTTTGTGAGCCTCCCTCCTCCTCCTCCTCCTGCCCACCACACTTTTAGTCTCCAGTGACTCTGTCTTTGCTGCGCCATCGCCGTCCCCCTCTCCGTTCACTCGCTCCTCATCTTCAGATCCACCAGCCTCCCACCTCGGTGCAAACAGGTACTGCACAAACAAGTGTTTGGAGTCACACTGCCAGACCGCAGCCGTAGAGAGGTCGGGCTGGGGCTCCAAGGCTTGGAGCTGGGGCTCGTGGGGGCAGGAGCGGGAGTGCTCCTGGTACCAACACAGCAGGCTCTGCAGACTGGACACACACTCCCTCCTGCCTGCAAACAGCAATAGTCCACAGCTGAGTGGAGAATCCGAAGCTACGTGTGAATCCACTCTGTTTGATTCTTGTTGGAGTAACACACACAATGGCCATGAGACCTTTTCTACAGAAAACTAAATAAGAAGATGCAGGACAGTCTGATATGACTCACGCGAACCTGAGACGAGAGACTAAGTCATCATTGTGAGGTAGATAATTAGTACAAGATAATTATACTAACACATATTATTTCATAATTCTAACTTCTTCTACTATCTCAGTATTTGACTGACGTATGTGAAAAATATGACTTATTATTAAAGCCTGACTGAATTTTTTAAGTTAAAGTTAAAAAAAGTCTGAATGACTTTTGGATTTATCACAAGTATTTTGTGTAGTTCCTCACATTTGACCTGTTCACTTTGTGAACCTGTTTAATACAGAAAGAGATGTGAGATCTCTACGGTCTGTCCAGGCTGACAGCAGTGAACACGATCAGCTGGCTACACTCGCACAGCCTCGACAACACATGTGCCTGATTTATCTCATGTAAACAACCAGGAGCAGTTAGCACAGTCCAGGCCCGATGTTAATGGTGCCACTCACCTTTTTTCAGTTTTACTGATACTTCGGGGTAAACCTTCTTCCTATGAAGCAGAAACATGTTGTTCAATTGATGAGTGCTGAGGTTACAAAGAATAAAACAAAGCTGGAATATACAACAACCAGTGGTGGAAGAAGTACTGCTTAGGTAGCCACAATACCACAGTGTAAAAATACTCTGTTACAAGTAAAAGTCTTGGTAGCCACAATACCAACGTAGACGTCCTGCATTCAGCATGTTACATAAGTAAAAGTACCAAAGTATCAGCATCCAAATCTACCTGAAGTACCAGCAGTACCAGTACTGGTCCTCCAGAACAGCCCGTGTCCCAGTAACGTTTCTGATACTGGATCATAGTGACTAATTACTGTGTCCATCACTTTAATGCTGCAGCTGGTAAAGGTGGAGCTGATGGTAACTACCTTATATACTTATACTGGGAAGTACTTTCCATCCTGCTGGGTAGCTGGTGGATTTCCTACTGGGATCAATAGAGTCTGATGGTTCTACTGGGTTTGGTTTGATTCATCTGATTCTGGACCTGAAGGTATCAGGTACATGTAGTGTAGTAAAAAGTACACGGTTTGTCTCTGACATGGAGTCACAGGATGAAGGAGCAGGACGTGAAGTACTACAATACAATAAGATGGGAACTGACAGTACAGCAGCAATGGTATCTGTCAGAAACCTGGGACCTACCCGCAGTATTTCTGCTGGTACTTCTCTCCGTAGGTGGAGTGCAGCAGGATCAGGTACTCTGCCAGTCCAGCATCAGTCAGGCTGGTCCGCCGGCGGAGCTCGCTCCACAGCCTGTGCGACTCCCCCAGGTACACCCTCCTCACGTCGTACTTCTTTCGGGATTCAAGACGCCTCTGTGCTCGGTCGGAGTCCGTAAGCCTGGGTCGTCCTCTACAACGTCTCGAAACACCTTTCCCTCGGTCCTCAGCTTGGTCCGCGTCCAGAGGAACCTCCATCTCTGACCAGACCTGCGCCATATTGGCCCCGCCAGCTGCTGTTAGCAGCGTTCCGGAAGGTGCGTTCGATACAACCGGAAGCACTGCCAGAAGCGGTGTTTCTGGTTGTTTTTCCACACCACAGGCTCATAAACTTTGACAGATTGTCCCAAACACAGTCATACGCAGTCAGAATGTTGAGACAGATGCTCAATGTGCACAACGAGCCCAGAGGCGGAACGGTGCCCCAAACAGCGGTTTTCACACGGACCCGATCAGCAAGAACGCCTGGGTGTAACATGTAAACAGCGACGGGAACATCGTTATCAGACACTGTTAATAGACATAATTCAAGTCTATGTAACAAACATCCGGGTAACAAAGTGTCAGTAATGGCGGATATTTTAACGCTTGTGTTCCGAACTTTTATGTCACAAACGGGGCTGCAGAAGGACCTCAGCGCCGCTCCTCCACCACCGACAGCCCGCAGCGCTTTGCTGGTCGGAGAACCCAACATCAGCCGCTCCGTGCTGCTGCTGGCGGCCGTCACAGCTGCGTCAGAGGCGGGGATGAGAGTGATATTCTTCAGCCAAACGCAGATCCAGAGCCTGCCGGCGTCTCTGCAGAGATGTGTTCCGAACCTGAGCCCACAAAGTCTAAAGGTGCAGGTCACTGTGCTCTAACGTTGTGGCACCTTTTTGCTTTAGTGTTCTGGTACGTTACCCTTTGTAAATGGGTTATGAAGTTGTTAATGAATAATGAATAATGGTAAATAAGCTCCATATAGCTGAACATTTACAGGCCATTTTTGAGAACAGTCTCTGGGTTGCCAGGTTGTGAAAACTTTCCTGTACTAGGGCACTGTTTTTTGGAGCATATTCGACCACAGTCCATTGATTTATCAATTAATTAATGACATTTACAACTTCAGGTGATGGATTATGGTAAATTATTAGTAAAGTCATATTTATAACTCTAGACCTTATTAGAAATTGAGAAATTACAAACTAATTCTGCAGGATATCAGGATGAACAAAACAAACACTTACAGCCAGCTGCGAAGACCCATTTTCTTTTTTCTGCTTTTAAAGAAAATCAGGTTTTCCTACCCCAGGACGGTGGAGGAGCTGCTCCAGCAGGTGGCCAGCCTTCATGAGCCCACCAATACGTCTCCCACACCTCCCTCTCTGATCATAGTTGACAGGCTGGAGAGCTTCCTGCGTGCTCCAGGTGAGCAGTCATGTGCTGCACATCTGTGTGCGCTGCTGTGTGACACTGCTGCCTTTCTCACACACATCCTGGGGCAGCAGTCCTCCAGCGCAGCTCCCTGCCGCGTCCTTGCCTCTTTCCAGTCAGAAGTGGACCCCGGACAACGTGGTGGGGAAGCCTCTGCCACACAACCTGTCCTTGATGTCCTCGATCGCTATTTCCTGGTACGCTACACTCTGGACCGAGACACAGGTTACGAAGCTACAGCAGCTGGTCTGCAGGAGATATGGCACATTTACCTTTCTGGAAGCGGAGTCACAGAGGTCTCTGGTGCCAAAGACTGTGAGGACACGCCGGCTGTCGCCCAGGAGTGGCAGCTGCTGATCTCTCCTGCTGGTTTAATGGAGTTTAAGTGGGTTTGAAAATGTTCTATCCAAGACTTACTGATTAAAAGCCAGTTTGTTTGTTTAGTTCAGAGCAAATTCTCATTGTCAGCACAAGTTTTTGCAGTTGGGCATTTCCAGAAATTTTCCATCCCATTGTAGCATCTGCAAAAGAATGAATGTGTTTCCATCCACTGCTGTTACCTGAATAGTAGGATCTGGTTCATCAAGACAACCAGCTGGTGGGGCAATGCCAGTCGGAGCTTGGACGTATTGTTGGAACTGGATCCCAGCATCAAAGGTGGTACCCAGTCACTTAAGTCTAAATTTCTCCTGAGTCAAAAAGTTTTCTAGTTTTCTGTTTTTGCTGGTCTCCTGATCTTCGTTGGCTTCTTTGTATTGTCGTCTGCTGCACATGCTCTCTGTAATGATGTAGGACAATTAAGGTTACCTTTCAAGGTTTTGAGAATGTTTTACAGCTATAAATCTTCCATGGATTAAAAACAATCACTGTTCACAGTTTTACAGACATCTCTGTCTTCACTGTGATCTATGGGGAAAATGTTTATTGGCTGCAGGAGATTTTTTTGTTGCCATACCATGAGTGACTACTGGGTAAAATTGGTTACAAGACTGAGTGACTGTCAATAAATGCACGGTCAGGTGCCGTTAAACTACTGCAGAAGAAGACACAACAAAATGAGCTCCAGTCAAACATCAAATAGTGAAAACCAGTAGAAATGTGATGTCTGTTAGTTTCACGAACGAATGTGAGGAAGGTCACAGCCTCCTCATCGCTAGACACACGTGATTTAGTCTGCTGCTGTTTTTTGTCTCTTCACTGATGTTTAAATCACATGATTCATGCACGTCGCAGCTCATTTGCTTCGTTTCCATTGCACTTTGTTGCAGCATATTTTCCACCTCAGCCAACAACTTCACATGCCTCTTCGTGTGAACGCATCATCTCAGGAACACGGTGAGTGAGTTTTTTCAAATCTGGCAGAAGTGTCCACTTGGACTCAACCATGAGCTGATTTGATTCTGGTGGTCAAAGGTCAGGGTCAGTGACCTCACACCTGTCCCATTCGACTGGCTGGCAGAGGCATAGAGCTGCAAAGTGTAACTGTGGTGGGTGGCCAGTAACCAGGCAGGATGGCTAAGCATTAACAACAGCTATATTTACAAGCATGGCAGCATGAACAAGAACAGGAAACGCACAATACCCACGAACCCAGGCGGGCTATGCCATGGCAGCGGGGCGTCCCTAGTGGCCGCTTCCAGAATAACATGTAATGTAATAAAATGTGAGCACAGCAGTGACTTCCACTGTTTCCACTCAGATCTTTTCTGCACAAATTGAAATTGCAAATAAAATGAGGCGTACTACAGCATAAGAGTCACTGTTACACTTTGTCTTCTACGTGGTGCAGATCCTCCTTTGATGAGAATATTCTCACCCATTTTCATGTAACAGAGCTCCAATAAAGCTCAGGTGTCACTGAACATTGAGATAAAATTTTAAATGATATAAATGTTTGTGAAACATATAGATGAAATCTTACACAAGAAAAACATTTACTGAGGTTAGCAGGACCTCTCAGATTATTAAAACTATTTTAATAACATGTTTTAATAGCAAAAAACAGAAATTAACATGAGATTAAAAGTGGTTGATATCACAGTTAAACTATTTCACAAAGAATAACAGAAAATGAGGAAATTTAATTATTCTGAGAACAATATTTTAAATGCGTCTGAAAATGAACATTAGTAAAAGAAACGGTGTAATTCTAAGTAAACCTCATTCAAATATTCATTGTCACCACCATCACCGGATTTGCTCTTTAAATATACGTCAGATAGCTAAGCAGAAAAATCTGTTGTCCACAAATATAAAAAACAGTGGGTGACATTTTTATTATGTTTGATAGATTATGCTGTTCAAAACAGTTTATCAGCCACTTGGATGTGTTTTAAACTTTTGGTTCCAATATTTTTTAAAATCTAAAACATGTCAACAATATATAAAACTGTAGTTGTATATTTTAGTTATAAGATGTTTTCTGAAGCCATAAAAGCAAATTACTAAGAACAAAAGTTGCAGAAATGATTGTTTGATTTCTAAGCTGCAGCAAATTTAAATGTTTTAAACAGAAACGTCCAGACTGAGATGTACCGTACAGGAGGGACAAAGAACAACTAGTTTACTGTGACAAGAAAGAGACTTACCAACAACTATAGCTACCTGAGAACGAATATTAAAACCTCGCTGCACAACCTACAGTGGCAGTAATTGTTTCATTTGGCAACAGCTGATTTGATTGTTCTCTAAAAAATGGTATTTACAGTGCCTTGCGAAAGTATTCGGCCCCCTTGAACTTTGCGACCTTTTGCCACATTTCAGGCTTCAAACATAAAGATATAAAACTGTAATTTTTTGTGAAGAATCAACAACAAGTGGGACACAATCATGAAGTGGAACGAAATTTATTGGATATTTCAAACTTTTTTAACAAATAAAAAAACTGAAAAATTGGGCGTGCAAAATTATTCAACCCCCTTAAGTTAATACGTTGTAGCGCCACCTTTTGCTGCGATTACAGCTGTAAGTCACTTGGGGTATGTCTCTATCAGTTTTGCACATCGAGAGACTGAAATTTTTGCCCATGCCTCCTTGCAAAACAGCTCGAGCTCAGTGAGGTTGGATGGAGAGCGTTTGTGAACAGCAGTTGTCAGTTCTTTCCACAGATTCTCGATTGGATTCAGGTCTGGACTTTGACTTGGCCATTCTAACACCTGGATATGTTTATTTGTATTTATTAGTCATTTAGGTCAACATTGGATCATTCAGAGATCCTCACTGAACTTCTGGAGAGAGTTTGCTGCACTGAAAGTAAAGGGGCTGAATAATTTTGCACGCCCAATTTTTCAGTTTTTTATTTGTTAAAAAAGTTTGAAATATCCAATAAATTTCGTTCCACTTCATGATTGTGTCCCACTTGTTGTTGATTCTTCACAAAAAATTACAGTTTTATATCTTTATGTTTGAAGCCTGAAATGTGGCAAAAGGTCGCAAAGTTCAAGGGGGCCGAATACTTTCGCAAGGCACTGTACAGATACAGTGAGGCTCTTCAGGTGGTTGCAGGGTTGAAGTGAAAGCTGATTCATTTAATTTTGAGGGTTTGTTCCTTTTCATATTGTCAACCACAAACTAAGATGTTCTTCTGTCTCTGAATACCGGACTTCTTCTCTGGTTCCGACTGAAGACAACTGTTAAGAATCAGGTCACAAATATGTAGTTTAATTAAAAATGTCTGATTCCTTAGAACAAGCTGCCCTGTGTTTTTTTTTTTTATTATTTCTTTTTTTTTTTTTTAGCAAATCCTATTTGAGGATTAAATGCTGCTTTTGTTGGGGACTATTTTCAGCGGTGTATTAATACACATTCGATGCTTTAGACACAATGATGTTGTATCTAAGTTTGACTCAAAATGCCCGACAGTGCCCATGATCACTGCATCAAACACAGGGCAAAGGTTAATGCACTGATTTGTTTTCAGTTTTTAGCTATTTGTGTGGTTATGTTACATTTGTAGTTGAAAGTGAAATGTCTTGCACTGTCATGAAATTTCATCACATATGTACTGTTTTCCTCAGGATAAACTGTTCCCTAACAGTTTAGTCAGAATATACACATTAGCCATTTCAAATATGATTTAATAATACAGCCTGAGCAAATAGTCCTTGCTATGAGACTTTGATCCATTTAAAACCACCAAAAAGTGGCCTGAGCTTTCCAGTTGGACCTCTGACTCCAGAGTTGCTCCATCAGACTTTTTTAAGTATGAGGATGGAAATTTTCCATTTTCAAATTGTCTGGAACGCAGCATCATGCCTGCTAAACGTTAGCATGCTAGCATGGCTGACAGACAACAGCTCCACAGGTGACACTGCTAGAAAGATTCATTTATTGTTCTTTTATGGGATGTGTTGACAAAAGAAAACTGCAGAATATCTAGAGTCATGTCCTTTGAGACATATGAGAAGTAAATAGAAAGAGCATTACCCAGACTTCCATTTCAGGAAGGCTACTCTGTATTTTAACTTCACCTCCATTCTGTCATTTAAGCCTAAAAGTAGGGGTAAATCAAGTATGAAAAAATCACTAAGAGATCAGATCTACAGAATCCAATCCGACCTCAGACCTTTACACTGAATATCAGTATTTGGTGTGAACAGCAGCTGCTGTTTCTGTGTGATGCTACTGTCCTGTACAGATGTGCGATGACCGTCTGTACATGCAGTGGACTCTGAGTCCCTTAGCTTACACTGGTATCAGTCAGCTCCAAGTCATTAGTACACCTGTCCTAACAATTGATGAGGAGTGATGTAGCTGTGGGTGAATATCCAGACATCCTCCACCTTTCCCACCTACAGTCTCAGCAGACGTGCAGCCTGTCCAACTGGGCTCCTCTTCAGCCGTCATCATGGACAGAGTGTTGCCTATGCAGGAAGGGTCTTCTCTGAGCTGGGATCTCGTTCTTGTAGTCGTTGCTGTAGATTACCACTTTCCCAATGTCATCTGCTCTGCTCATGGGGCTGTAATCCATAGAGACGCCCGAGTCTGCCACTGCCATGTAGGTGTACCCGGGGCCTCTGGGCATCCAGCCCTGGTTCGGGTACTCAAAGCTTGACTGAGACGACAGGCGACCGGAGCCAGAGCTCTGCTGCACGGAGCCCAGGTCAGAGTGAGACTCACACAGCACTGTCGGTTTGGACGAAAAAAGCACTTCAAGGGGCATGGACTCATCCAGAGAGTCATCCAGGCGCTCTTGGCCGCTGTGCTCGTTTGTGCTGAGGGTGACGTAGGCATCTTGGGACTCCAGCAGGGAGGACTGGGAACAGGGTAACTGGTGCTGGTGGAGCGCCCGTAAGCGGTCCATCAGCCAGGGGTCGTGTGGTGCGGTGCTCCACCCCTCAGTAACTGCCGAATCACCTCTTTCCAGCGGCTCTACATCATCCAGCCCCTTCTTCACCCCGTCCTCGTTTCTGTTGGTGGGTACAGCTCTGGAGGCCTTGGGTGGTAGAGACGGGGAGGGCAGTGAAGGGCAAAGGCTGAGCTCGGAGAGCACTTCCAAAGGTGAAGGGTGTTCTTCTGAGAAGGCATTTGCTGGAATCAACCACAGGATGCCGTTGGTGTCTCCCAACCATTCCTGTACAAGAACACAAGACAAGTCTGACCCTGATGGGACTTTCAGACAGGAAGCAGGTACTCCCCTGACTTCCTGTAACCACAAGGTCAGCCTTTGTGATGAAGCTGTTAGATGTTCTAATCTCGGCATGCTAACATGTTAAACTACAGAGCACTTGCTACACGTTTCACGTTAGTGTGAAATGTGATTTTGTCATTTAGTGTTATAACAATGTGACTTAAAACCAAAGCATATATCTGAACTATGTCATTATAAACACAACACTAAAACTTGAGAAAAATGGACTGAATTGTTTAGATGCATTATCTGTTCTAATTCTACCTCTTGTCTGTATTTATTTCAGCTGGAAAATCAATGAGTTCTGGTGACTAACTGTGGACACACACCTCCTCCGTTCATACACACACACACTGCTTCCCTGTACCAACATGGCGGCTCAGGAGGAATCTGTGTTTGTGTCTATGGTATAGCCTCACAGCTAGCATGTCTATAGACCTTTGGTGTTGTTCTTACCTCAAAGTCTCCACCATAAATGGTAAACAGATCCTGGAACTTGCTGTCAGGAGTTGGAATAGTCGGCCAAACCTTCTTTATAAGAAACCTGAGTAGAGCACAGTTTGTGAAAATGTTATTCTCAGTTTGAAAGGTTGTCTATGTGGTTAGGAAATGAGCAGTGTGCTCCCTGTTGGACCGACCTGTGATGGGACACGAGCACGGTGAGAGACAGCACAATGAGGACGAAGGAGATGATCAGAGTCAGGGACATGATGAGTGGGTCGACATCTGGAGGAGGCACAGAGTTAGATCTTTGCATTCACTGTAGAAATGTGGAACTACATTTTCCCTTGTAGGAAGCACGTGACATGTTTGTGCTGCATGTATGAATGCTCACCCACCTGCGGGCAGCGTTTCCATGAACACCGGCTCACTCCAGGCACTCCAGTAGCCACCGTAGCTAATCCCGTCTAGCTTGACACGAACCTGCACCCTGTACCCGGTGCCTGGCCGCAGGCCTCTGAGGATCACCTCGGAGCTGGCTCTGACCTCCTCGACCTGTAACACAGTCGGCACCACATCAGTACAGCTCACGTAGATTTATTCAGCCGCTGCAGTGGAGGTCAACTCACAGGAATTTTGTGGAATCAACTAAGATTTTCTCATGAACTTAAACCTCTAACTTTGATCTTTTCAAGTTAATTCAACTTAAAATGTTGTTTCATTGTCAGACTACTTGAGAACTTAGGTTGTTGTGACTTAAGCTGAATGAACAAGTTCACTCACTCATTAAATGACATTTTTGTCTCATTTTGACAGTTTGTGAAAACCTTCATAATGAAAACTTAAAGTTGTTTCTCTTTACATTAAAAGAACAAATGCTGAATTCAGTCCCTGTCCAGAACACAGTGTTTCCAACAGGAACACAGTCACCGTGTGAAGAACTGTGGTTCGTATTCTGTTTGAACACTTAGTTAGGACTCAGGCACATTTTTGTGTTAAATTGCATGTTTAAGTTCAAAAACCTACCAAAAGATTTTCAGTAAACACATTTACAAGGCAGAGGTTTACACCACACATCATTTTACGCATGCTGACATAAATGTGTATGTTTAAACACCTACCTAAGCACTTCAATCAGTCTAAGACAAGACTTTACACAACGTGCACTGTGTTTTAAAGTGCAACGTGTCGAGTGGCGTACCTGCCCCACGTGGCTGTCTGCCACAGTGTAGTTGACCTCGTACATCATGCTGTCATCCATGTACTTGAGAGGAGGAGGCACCCAGCTGACGTTGAGCTGGCCCTGCTGCCCCGTGGTGCTCACTGTCACATTAGCAGGGGAGTCCAGGAGAACTGGGAGAACAGGGAGACTTAGTGTACGTCACATATCAGCTCAAGTCTGTTGATTTGGGCCTGAGCGCTCTGAAGCTGCTGCTGGTTGGATTTGGATCTGATTCTTCAGGAAGGCATTAAAGAGAACTACCTGGGAGTTAAACCTGCAGTGACTGAGTGTTCAGCCACTCAGGAGCAACGGGAAAGCACCAACGCCACAATGCACTGTAACCTTTTAGGTCTATATGGAAAACTTGTTAGCAACCGTTAGAGATGCTAGCAAAGTATGTAGGGTTGTGTGGACGCTCTGTTTGTTCTCTGCCAACTTCTGAGAACCTGAGTCTGGAGCTGTTCGTCTCTGAAAACAGCTGGTTCCTGCTTAAGCTGAAAACGATGCCACGGGAGTGAACCAACACACTGAAGGTGCAGGCTATAAACCAAACCAAACTGAAAGATGCGACAAAGCTTTGCGTAGCTGGGACTGCAGATTCATAAGAGAATTCTCTGTTTGTCTACAAGCTACACTCTTCACGTGCAACCAGTCATGTAGACATAATACTGATTACAGCAACTTTACAAATGTGTTACAGGGAAGTTTAGAGGCACTGAAAATAAAAGGAATCATCATCACAGAGACCTTTTGAATCCTGTCAGACGACTTCAGTTCTGTAACTTACAGACAAGTTCGATGTGGAGGCTGCGATTGTGGATCAGTCGTCCCTCCCGGTGAACTTCGATGTCCATCTGGACAAACAGCTGGGTTCGGTCCAGGTGGCAGACGAACCGCCTCTTGCCTCCTGCTGCAGGAAGGACAATCAGCGGGCAGCTGCTGGAGTTTTCATTCCCGCTTGTGCAGTGAAGCGACAG